ACGTTTTTATGCCTTACTATAGTATGACGTTTTTTTACCTTTTTATGCCTTACTATACTATGATGTTTTTTGACTTTTTATGCCTTACTATGCTATGATGTTTTTTTTACGTTTTTATGCCTTACTATAGTATGACGTTTTTTTACCTTTTTATGCCTTACTATACTATGATGTTTTTTGACTTTTTATGCCTTACTATGCTATGATGTTTTTTTTACGTTTTTATGCCTTACTATAGTATGACGTTTTTTTACCTTTTTATGCCTTACTATACTATGATGTTTTTTGACTTTTTATGCCTTACTATGCTATGATGTTTTTTTTACGTTTTTATGCCTTACTATAGTATGACGTTTTTTTACCTTTTTATGCCTTACTATACTATGATGTTTTTTGACTTTTTATGCCTTACTATGCTATGATGTTTTTTTTACGTTTTTATGCCTTACTATAGTATGACGTTTTTTTACCTTTTTATGCCTTACTATACTATGATGTTTTTTGACTTTTTATGCCTTACTATGCTATGATGTTTTTTTTACGTTTTTATGCCTTACTATAGTATGACGTTTTTTTACCTTTTTATGCCTTACTATACTATGATGTTTTTTGACTTTTTATGCCTTACTATGCTATGATGTTTTTTTTACGTTTTTATGCCTTACTATAGTATGACGTTTTTTTACCTTTTTATGCCTTACTATACTATGATGTTTTTTGACTTTTTATGCCTTACTATGCTATGATGTTTTTTTTACGTTTTTATGCCTTACTATAGTATGACGTTTTTTTACCTTTTTATGCCTTACTATACTATGATGTTTTTTGACTTTTTATGCCTTACTATGCTATGATGTTTTTTTTACGTTTTTATGCCTTACTATAGTATGACGTTTTTTTACCTTTTTATGCCTTACTATACTATGATGTTTTTTGACTTTTTATGCCTTACTATGCTATGATGTTTTTTTTACGTTTTTATGCCTTACTATAGTATGACGTTTTTTTACCTTTTTATGCCTTACTATACTATGATGTTTTTTGACTTTTTATGCCTTACTATGCTATGATGTTTTTTTTACGTTTTTATGCCTTACTATAGTATGACGTTTTTTTACCTTTTTATGCCTTACTATACTATGATGTTTTTTGACTTTTTATGCCTTACTATGCTATGATGTTTTTTTTACGTTTTTATGCCTTACTATAGTATGACGTTTTTTTACCTTTTTATGCCTTACTATACTATGACGTTTTTATGACTTACTATACTATGACGGTTTTTTTTACCTTTTTATGACTTACTATAGTATGACGTTTTTTTACCTTTTTATGCCTTACTATACTATGACGTTTTTTTTTTACCTTTTTATGCCTTACTATGCTATGACGTTTTTTTTACCTTTTTATGCCTTACTATACTATGACGTTTTTTTTACCTATAAATGACTTACTATACTATGACGTTTTTATGACTTACTATACCATGACTTTTTTGTTTTAGCTTTTTATACCTTATTATACTATGACCTTTTTTTTACGTTTTTATGCCTTACTATACTATGACGTTTTTTTTTTACCTTTTTATGACTTACTATACTATGACGTTTTTTTTACGTTTTTATGCCTTACTATACTATGACGTTTTTTTTTTACCTTTTTATGACTTTCTATACTATGATGTTTTTTTTACCTTTTTATGACTTACTATACTATGACGTTTCCTTCACGTTTTTATTCCTTACTATACAATGATGTTTTTTTAACGTTTTTATGCCTTACTATACTATGACGTTTTTTTTTTACCTTTTTATGCCTTACTATACTATGACGTTTTTTTTTTACCTTTTTATGACTTACTATACTATGACGTTTTTTTTACCTTTTTATGCCTTACTATACTATGACGTTTTTTTTACCTATAAATGACTTAATATACTATGACGTTTTTATGACTTACTATACTATGACGTTTTTTTTTTACGTTTTTATGCCTTACTATACTATGACGTTTTTTTTTTACTTTTTTATGACTTACTATACTATGACGTTTTTTTTTTACCTTTTTATGACTTACTATACTATGACGTTTTTTTTTACGTTTTTATGCCTTACTATACCATGACTTTTTTGTTTTAGCTTTTTATGACTTACTATACTATGATGTTTTTTTTTACCTTTTTATGACTTACTATACTATGACGTTTCCTTCACGTTTTTATTCCTTACTATACAATGATGTTTTTTTAACGTTTTTATGCCTTACTATACTATGACGTTTTTTTTTTACCTTTTTATGACTTACTATACTATGACGTTTCCTTCACGTTTTTATTCCTTACTATACAATGATGTTTTTTTGATATTTTCATGCCGTACTATATGATATTTGTATCCTTTACTCTATAGTATAACATTTTGTGACATCTTGATACCTTCCTATACTGAAGATTAGACGTTTTTATGACTTAATATACTATATTTTTTATGCCTTACTATAGGATGACAAGTCTGAAGCTATTCTGTGTCAGCAGCTGCCGCAGTGAATGAGGATCCTGAAATATTTTGCAGAGATACAATGTGGAGAGTTTTCAAACAATGTTTAATTTTGAGGGTTTTGTGAAGACTGGGTCAGATACAAACCAAAAGTGACGTACAGTAGAGCCAAAAAGCGTGGTACGTCGTTCTTTGAAAAGCTAATAATTAGGAAGTATTGTTGTTGGGATGTACTGACACAAATGTGATATAAAGTAGTGGTTCTCAAAAAGTGATATTAAAAAGATTTTTAAATGTCTGAGGTTTACCCTGGTGAACCACTGAAGCAACACTCAACAGTCTTTACAGATGCAGTATTTAAGACATGCAGATGTAAAGCTGAGGCCAGAGAGTATTTTTTCATCTTTCCTTTCTGATAATCTGAAATGGTTTGTGGGATCTTTGCCTTGTAAGTAGCAGCTACAGATGAGTCACAGTTGAGTAGAGATGATGAGGTGTTTCCATGGTGGAGACCTGATGTTTACAGCTTATAGATGATTAGTGCGTCTCACTCATGTGCTCAGCTATTAGGCTTTATGTTTGTGGCAGTGAATCAGGGGGAAAATATCTGAAGAGAAAAAAGTGGTGACGCTCATTCTCAGCAGCTCCTGGTTCAAGGCTGTTAAAGAAACGTGAGCACTGAGAGAGGCTGAGGAGAATAGCACTTTAAGGCACTTTCCCCAATTTCCTGACTGCTGTATTTATTCCTGCCCGTCCAAGTTTCCACTACAGGATGGAGGTCTTTCCCTCAGATAAATAAAACAGTGCAAATGTGCAGATGAGTCAGTGGTATGCTCCGGGATGGAGCAGATCCTGGTCTGACTGAAAACCTGGATGTGTCTGTGCTCTTTAACACTTCATTTGATCATCAATTTAAAAGTATAGAGACTGAACATGTTCCCCTGTAGTTTACCCATGAGCCCCTGTGTTTGGCCCAGATGCTCCTCTAGTTAGTGCAAGTTCTTGTCGGCCAAGTGCCCCTTAATGGAACATCTGATCGATCCAAGTGCTTCACTACAGTGCTGTACTGTTGTTCAGTGTTTCCCCCAGTCAATCCAAGTGCCTCTCTTCACGCCCTGAGTGCCCCATTAGTCAGCCTAAGTGCCCCTCTCATGATCCTCTATCTTCCTGGAAAGTCTAGTGTCCCAGTAGTCTGTCCAGCCAAGTGCGAGTCCCCCTGTTCTCAGACCAAGTGTTAGTCTAGTCCAGGTGCCCCACATGTGCCCCTGCAGTTAGCCTAAGTGCCCATCTGGTTAATGAAAATGCCCCCTCTAGCTATCAAGAGTTCTTTTATGATGATCCCATGTGCCCTACGAGTGAACCTCATGTCGGCCTCACTGGTCTGTCCAAGTCGACCTATCTGAAAAGGCTTTACTGCCCCTCCTAGTCACCCCAAGTGCTGGTCCAGTCAGTCTTAATGTCCCTTCAGTGCCCATCTAGTCATCCTAAGAACCCCTTTTTTTAAAGTCTGGGTGCCCCAAGTGCTGCTCGTCCACGTGCTCCCCAGGTTGGTTCTGCTATGTTTGATCAAATGCCCCCCCCCCCCGGTCAGGCTGAATGCCCCTTCAGTTAATCACATTGCCCATCTAGTCACCTCGACAGCCCCTTCAGGTAGCCAGACTGCCCCTGTGGTCGGTGCAGATGCCCCTATAGTCCAGCCCAATGCCCCTCCAGTCAGTCCACTCAGCTTTTCCTTCAGAGTAAATTTAACCCTCCACCTGTAGTAGAGGTGAAACAAGACTCAAAAAAAACAAAAAACACACAGATGTAAATTTTCAGTAGTTTTATTGAAAAATGCCTCTTCTGTTTTCAGAAATAAATAAGAAAATAAGGCTGTGGAATTCACAATCTGCAGTTCAAACATGAAGCAGCAACACCATTTCCATAGTCTTGCACGCAGGTTTCGACTGCATTCGATACTGAGAAAATGACAAGAATGACAACAACTATATTCTGGTTAAAACAAAATTGAATGGTAACAAAAAAAAAACAAAAAAAAAAAAACATACTAAATATACACCACAGACATGCAATTCCACCTTTGGTAAAATTAGCTGTGACGGAATAAAGGAAAACTGATAAATATTAAGTCTAGAGATACAAAATGAAAGCTGTGTTTAACTGCCATAATGAAACTGAACCTCCTTACGAGACGACACTGATGACGAGGATTATACTGAACATACTGATGAAGTGTGACAGGAAAAAAACAAAACAAAAACAATCTTATCTGATGTCGCGACACTGTGAACAAACATTTCATTCCTCCTCTACCATGCTAGCTTTGTTACAATGAGTGCACTGTTCAACACTGCTAGTTCATACAAACTCGACGCAAATATGTTACAAGCAAAAAGACAAGTGGAAAAAGAAAGCTCACAGGTTTTTTCATGGAGTCTTACGTTTTTTTCTTCCATTTTTTTTTTTAAATTTTGCTCCCAAACCCCACCCCCCCCCTCCTCCTCCATCCAAACCCTTCACCTGCCACAAAAATGAATATTCACATACGTTTTAAGGCATTTAAAGGTATTTTCCAATAAAGTCGAGGTGTCAAACCCCGTTTTTTTTTTTTGTTTAGTTTCTGTGTGTAATGTGCATCATTCCAACAACAAACACAGGTTGAACAAAGGAAAAGAAAGAAGAAAAGAGAACATGGCTTGTCTTATGATGTTAGCCTGTTGGACGCCTTTCTTGATAGTGATCTCTTTCGACGCTGGTATTGCGACACCTCATCCTCCTCGGGCTCTGGGTCTACTCGGGTGTCGGGTTCAGGAGGGTACTGGCCTGCTCGGAGATAGTGTTTGGGCCAATTGAGCACAAAGTGGCAAATTTTTCTCTCAGTTTTCCTCAGCATGCACAAAAAGAACGGATTGAAATGTAGTTTTTCTATGTGACTAAAGCTGCAGCACTGGTACAGCTGGTTGGTCAACAGCAGGGGCGTGTCCACTGTGTTTCTGGGGGTGTTTGAGGGAGTTGGTTGTGTGAGAGTCAAATTTATTCATATTTTTTTTATGCACTAGTTTGTGAAAGTGTCAATCAGGAAGTGGTCTGGAGATAAACTAACACACAATCAGCTGGTCGAAGTTATCCTGTTTCAAAATCAGCTAAAAAGAGCGGGAACTAGAAGGTCTGTTAACTTCAATATTTTAAACCCTTGTTCATTTGATCAGCAGCTGCTGCACCAGCTGCTCGTTCACACTACAGATGAATTATGTGTTTGTATCCACTGAATTCCTGAAGGTTCCTGTTGGGGATCGAGTTTCTGATCATTGAATCGTGAACTCGTCTCTTATCAATAAGAAATGTAGAAAACATTCAGGTCGCAGCTTCTCGTTTTATCTGTGTCAGTGAAACAACGTCTGAACTCTGCATCAGCTACAGTTAAACTTTATCTGGTGTTTGGACTCGTGTACATGAAGAGGGAGGATGAATCTCTAAAGCTATCAATAATTTAAACTTATTATTACTAAAGAATCACAACCTTGATTATCTGTACCAAGAAACAAGGTGTGTTCAATACTTAATATTTAATATCTCATACAGGTGAGTTTGTGTCATCGTCAGGTTGTTTCTACAAACTGTGAAAATGTTTCAGAGATCTTTGATCTTTAGTTATTGATGACTTTAGTTACGTCACATGTTGGAAGTTAAAGCTAATCCTGAAGTGTCGCGGTGCAGCAGCTTCATCTGAGTAAGAACTTTATCAATAAATGACCTTTGACTTTGTAACTGGACACTGTCGTAGTGAGCGGCTGCGATGAAACAGTCACTGCTGATTTCTATGGCGCAACGCACTCAAAAAGAAGATCATGTGATGTGACTAAAAGCTCCAGAACAGCTACTTAACTGACCGTGTGGTGATGTTTTCTCCAAAAATAAATAATCTTTAACCTGCAGAATCTCCCTCCAACACGCCTCCTGATGGACTATGATTGGCCGAGACACCGCCGTGACCCCGCCCCCTCTGTCCTTGGACACGCCCCTGGTGAACACCTCAGTGCTTGTATCTTTTCACTTGCTGATGTTACAGGTGTTTGTGTGGTTACAGAGTCATTTCTCCACAACTCATTCATTTACAAAATAAAACAACAAAACACTTCGACATTAAAATCAAGTACGACTTCTTCTACCAGCGCGCGGAGAAACTCCTGCGGCGCCGCATTGTTAGTATGTCAGAAACACACAGATACAGTTTGAGCTGGTTTTTGGGGAGAAAAGTAAAATAAAACCCAAAAAAAAAGAGAAAAGCTGGATTCTTTTTTTTTTTTTTGTACATGAAGTGTGAAATCTCAACCTTCAGGGTCACATGTGCAGAAATGATTCAGTCTGGCCCTGAGCAGTTCAAAACAGCTACAAACACATGGGCAGGAAAAAAAAAAAAAAGAGGCGTTTGTTGGCATTCAGCAAGCAGCAGGTTGTTGTTTGCAAGGCACAAGCTTTAAAACTACAGATGTTAAAAAGTAAATTTAGTGGACTTGGTTCAAACATCATTTACAAGGCACAAATTAGTTTATTTACACGTCACCTCGAGAGAAATGCTGTTAACAGAGTTGTTGCTGCTGTTGTTGCTGGTGATGCTGTGGTGGGTGCACTTGTTTCTCTGTTACAAATCCACCTTTGTTAGTATTTGCTGGGGTTGTTTGTTGTTGTTGTTGTTTGGTGCATGCTCCTCCACTGAACACAAGGTTTTCTTTGTTTGGTCTTTGGCTTCAAGATGCAAACAGGCCACTAAACAGGCCGGTACCGTCACCGCTGCTGCTGGTGGGGTTTGTTCTACTGGCTGTGAGTCGTTGTTAGTACTGGTTCCCTCTTTGTTGTTGTTGTTTTTCAGCATAGTTTGTTAATGGTTTCCTTTGGCGGTTATCCTTTAAACAGCTCTAGAGCATGTGAGCAAGTGTTTCAGTTACAGGGCTTTGAGTTTTTTTTTTTTTTTCAGGAAGTCAGTGAAAGCAGCACAGGCGGCACAGAAAGTCTACTATGGTGAACCTGAAACAGGCCAAAGAGGATGAAGGTGTCAGTCAGGTCAAAGCAGAAGACGGAGAATCAACACCTTAAAGTCTCTGTAATGATTAGTGGCTATAAGTTACTGTAGTTTCCACACATGCATTAAACCTCCTTCACTTGTTAAATATCAACAGTGTACGTTCAAGTGAAAGTATGAGCTACGTTTAAAAGCTACAGGATGTTATTAAATCACCTCCAGGCGCCGGTCTCATACGTACCTACGTATCCTTGCCCGTTGTAAGGAATACCGACGCACTGAGAAGAGTCGCAGTATCCGGGAGGGCCGGGAGGTCCACGCACTCCGGCGTATCCTGGACGTCCGGGGGGGCCGCGAGGTCCGGCAGAGCCTGAAGGGCCTGGGGGTCCTGTCCTGCTTTCTCCTTGGGGACCTGTTAGAAAAGTGTTGACAGAAGAGTCACGTGTCACTTCCTGTCAAACCCCCGATCACATCTTACAGGTCATGACACCGTGCACTAACATATCAATTACTTCATATTCAAGAACTCAAACTGTAGATAGATCACGTGTATTTAAGGTGAACAAAGACTCAGTTGATGAATCAGTTGTTTGATCAAGAAAATTAATCACTATATTGATAATTGATTGATTGTTCTGGGCGGAGCTTGTCAGAATTGAACGATCAGGTTTCTTTGTGCTTTGAACTGTTGGTCGAACAAAACGAGATATTTGACGACGTGAACTTTGAAGTTTTCAACCTGCCGTCGGTTCAGGGAGATAATGGAGGAGGAGGAGGAAAATAAAAACGACTTCCCTGTTTTTCACAGAGCCAATCTGTGACAGGATCCAAAGTAAACGAGTGTCAGGAAACAGGACGTCTGTTGAATCCTTATGAAGACAAACTAAAAGTCTGTCGTGTTTCCTGAAGCTTCAGTGAAGGTTTGAGTTTACTCTCGGAGACTGTTCTGCATGTGGCTCTGCTTTTACGATCATGCTTGGAAATTCAGCTTTGCTTGTTGTTTCTGATTAATTTGGAGATGAAATCAGATTTATTACTGTCTTGTAAAACTGCCTCAAGTAAAACCCCCCACCCCCCCGCCGTGTTTCATGATCTCTGAACCAAACAGATAATTATGGCTCAGTGTCATCACTCTGCTCCACATCCAGCTGGAAACGTAACACGTTAAAGAAAAGCTGTTGCAACTGTTGCTGACAGTCTCGGGCACAACGTTTGAAACATAAAAAACTCAAGTATGAGGGGGGAGACCAGGGGGGGGGGGGGGGTCCTGCTGATCCCTCTCCCCCTCTGCGTTATGTCTAGACGTGGACAAAGCCGGCTTGGAAAGTTTCCCCGTCGGTTCGTCTCCTCGCCGTCCTCCCATGTGTTGTGAATGAACCTCTTCCACCATGACTCACTGCCGTCCACTTCCTCCGCTGTTTCCACAACTCGACCCTGTTTGCTTCAGGAAGGGATTTTTTCCCTCCTTCTGTCTGACAGGCTGGATGGTGTCCGCGGTGTGAGGCTGAAGTCTGGATTACAGGGGTGGGGGTGGGGTGGGGGGGTGACATCATCATCCGCGGTCGCTGTTTGAGCTGATCTTTGCAGAACAAGCTCCAGAGTTTCGTAGGGAAGTGACATCCTGAGAGTCTCGTTACATTTCTGTCCCGGGGAGTTACACGTCGTCTCATTGATCTGACGTGGGGTAATAAATATTGATCAGAGCGATCACGTCTCCGTTTCCAAACGCAGAACATTGGGTGTTTCTATTGGCTGAGCTCATCCACTCAGAGCTGAGTGAAGGTGAACTACAAAACAGGACACACACACGGATGTTTGGTACGACTGCAGCCTGAAGCTGCTGGTTCAGATTCATAATCAGTGAATAGATGAAACTGATCGAGGAAATTCTACGTGTGGCAGTGAGTTACTGTGTCTCGGTTCTTTGAGCTGAGTGAAGGTCGTGTCAGCTTCTCCTAGAGGTTTTGTGAGGATCGTGTTGATGGAGTGTGGATGAGATGATTCGTACCTGCTGGCCCTCTGGGTCCCTTCTGTCCAACTCCTGACACTCCTCGGTCGCCTTTCTCTCCTGCAGGACCTGAAGGGAACACACTGAGTCACTGCTGTGTCTAATGGGGGGTCAACAGTCATCACACACCTGTACTTACAGGTTAACAGTGAGGATGTGGATGTAAAACACTTGGATTTTAGCAGCTAACACACTGTTTCTTGGTCACATGTTGGAGCCTCTGTCCTGCTGATGGTTTTGTGTCTTAAGTCTGTTCTTCAGCAGCTAAAACACATTATCAACTTTACTGGTGTCACGTGACTCACTGAGTCCCTCGTCTGTATGTAGGACATTTAAACAGGATCAGTTTGTGGCTGAATTGTGTTAAACTGGAGGATTCAAGGAGTCGAACGCCGTTGGATCTTAACATCCTTGAAATAAATAGAATTAAAAGTCACTTGAAGCTGAGAAGTCTTTGTTTCACTTCTGATCCAGGAAGCCAAAACACCAGAGAACATCTGTAAGTGTGAGATGTTGATAATTCTCTGCCGTGCACTTCAGCGTGTTTACTGAGCATTATTCTAACCTTTCTAACAGCTACTGTGTAAACACGCTGATGGTTTTCTAGTGGAGCTTCATCCTGTTGTGTGGGAGCTCCGACTTGGAATAAGCCTCTTTTTCTGGTATGAAAAGTGTTGTTAGTTTTCTTTTGTGTCTTTGTGAAACAACAGCAGACGGAGCTGCAGACCTCAGGTCAGATCTCTCACCATGAGTAGAAGGAAGCAGATCACTCAAGTGAGAATCAGAGGTGACTTATGAAGCCACGCCTCATTAGCATCTCGTGATGCTTTTCTGCTTTTTAAATAAACCTCTTGCGCTCTAAATAATCACTGTGTGTTCTCAGGCTCTATCATTTTAGAAATCATTGGTTTATTTTTAGAAGTCTGCACTGTAGACTGACGGGGTCGTACCTCTCTCTCCCTGCTGCCCAGGTAAACCTGGACTTCCTGGGAAGCCGTTCCTTCCCGTGGCGCCTGGCTCTCCGCGGGGTCCCTGCCTGCCAGAAGGTCCGGGAGGCCCCGGAGGTCCTGGGTGATTGTTGCGGTGCATGCCGTTGGGGATCTGGTTCAGTAACGTGTTGACTCGAGTCATTTGTGCTGCAGCGGCCGAGGAGAGAAAGGAGCATTAAAACAAAGAGCGAGAGTCCGACTCTGGAGTCAGGATGTTTTAACCAGAACCACTTCCAAAAAAAACCTCCACGACTCACCGTTTACCAGCTGCTCACAAACTTGTCTGGCAATGGACCGCATCATGTTCTGAGGAGCGAAGTCGCCCTGCGTACACACACCGAGGATTTAAGATTTAACACATCAAGGATTTTATACCAAACCTCTGTTCAATGTGTCTGAGGTTTATTAACATTTCAAATGTTTCTCTGAAAGTTTGTGGCTCCAGATTTTTCTGACGGTTGTTTAATATTATTTTAATCCTGTTTGTTTTCTGATCTCTCTTCGTTTTGTTTCGTAATACTTTGTATTTGTGGATCTTTCTGTGTATTTAGATCTGGAGAACTACAGTTATGAACTGCATTTTCCATGAATACCTGCATGAAAAATCCCAGGTGTGTTCTCTCTGATGTAGTTTTCATCAGTCACAATCAATAAAAGCCTGACACACTTGTTACACAGGACGTTTAGAATCTCACTTTGATTAAAACTTGTCGTTTGAATTTTCTGAGACGCTGAAAACAAATAAAATAAGAGTTACTCACTCTCTCTCCCTTGTCTCCCTTGGGGCCGATAGCACCCTAAAGACACAAACACAAAACAGTTTAAACCAGTGACCCTCAGAGATGCTGGGGGGTGGACACAGCCGCCATGACAGTCACTCACAGAAGGACCGGAGTCTCCGGGCTTTCCTGGTTTTCCTGCAGCACCTGGTATTCCTGGAGATCCTGGAGGTCCCTGTGAGGGAACGCAGAGAGCCAATGAGAAGACTGGGATATAATCATCATCACGTTCACCTTGTTTCTTCTACAGGAATATTTCCCCACATGAATCACAGAAGATTAAATATCATCACAATCATCTGTCCTGATGAACATTTAGAAAAGTTCCCTCCGCACCAATCAGCTCGTTAAAACTGGCTGGAGTCAAACTAAACAAACAAACACCAGCTTGTTCTTGAGCAAGGCACTTAAAGGTTTAATTGTTTCAGCTTGGTGAAACAAGCTGCTGCCTCTCAGGTGTTAAACCGTTAAACGCCTCACCATGGGCCCTGCGGGGCCTCTGGGTCCAGCCGGTCCTTCCTTTCCTTGAGGGCCCTGAAATTAAAAGATGGTGACTTAAGAAACTGAACTGATCCTGTTCATGTTTAAAGAATTCAGAGAGCATGGTTGCCATTAAAGTCTGTACTCACTCTCACTCCAGCTGGTCCGATCGGGCCGACGGCACCGGGAGGACCAGGTGAGCCCTGCAAACACACAGACACGGATCAAATCGAAGCCCCGCTCCTCCTTCCTCTAAACGCAGAACTTAAAGGTCACCTTCACCAACTCAAACCGGTTTGTTTCAGAGCTGCACTTCTGCGTGTCCAACAGTAAATCTCCTTCTTTGCGCTCATTTGCTCAGAAACCCTGCTCACTACTTTTTATTGTCAATCCTCTCTGGTCTTTGATGCCTTGGCATAAAATTTACAGGGAACATAATATATTCCAGATCCATTTTATTGGCCATTATAAACCAGGGCCTGCATGGTCTGCAAGTCATTAAATGCATGTTGCTATAGCATCTGCTCCAACATGGTCACCTGCAGCCTGCCTGCTCCATCAACACCAGCACTGGGAGAGACGCTCAGTGGGCTGGTTTAATTTGAACATGGAGCTGATTAATCAGTGTTACTCATGAGTGCACGGAGGCTGTGATGACGATGATGAAGGCTACAGCTGCTGTGTCACAGGTTGGATTTCTATTCACATGTCCTGCGAAAGCACTTGGTCCCTAAACGTCCCCCCTGCAGGACAAACATGAACCTGCAGAAGGTTCGCCACAGAGAGCCGGCTCCAAACCTCAGATTCCTCATTTTTATTTTGATTCTGTCGGTTCCTTTAAGTGGCGCTAGTTTCAGTCTCAGTACCAGGTCACGTTCAGTCTACCGGCGCGGCTGGTGGGTGTTTGCCAACCGACAATCAAACAAAACAAGAAGAAGAAGAAGCAGCAGCAGCAGCAGCAGCGTGTACTCTTACTGCACAACACTGCACAAAGTGGTTAATGTAACAGCAAAACGCCTTCGCCAGCATGGTTACAGATCATCAAGTGTGTCTCACTCCTAACAGCAGGACAGTAAAACAGCTTCACGTCACTGTTTTTGATGTATTTTTGTGTGTGTGAGACTTAGTGAGAGAAGCTTCATCTTACTGTGAAATGAGAACCGGCCTCTCCTCTAGAACTTGTGGAAACAGCTTGTTTAGCTAAACTACACTCAACGCCACTTCACCTCTTCCTCCGCTGCAGCCACTGAAACCTGCTGGATGTGAAACTGATGTCCTCTACGTGCATGTCAGGGTGAAACGCTTCCGCAGGGGAATTCTTTTAAAATCCACCGAAGCAAAACTCCTCAGGTCAAGCTTGAAGAGGTAAACACACACCACTCCACAGGTCAAGAGAGGGCACAGGAGCCACTTGTGGCGGTGCCTGTAAACAGGTTTAATGGCGCCTATCTGCACTGATCTTCTGGGAGGGATCGCCGGACTTGAAGTGACAGAAAACGCTGAAGGCCTGCACAACACTCAGGAGGTTTTTTTCAGACCCTCCAGCACTTAAGAGTTCGTTTACCTTCGTATGGGCTCGACTGCTGTCTAATCTTAGACAGGATCTGACCTCTGACCTCTGACCTCAGCTGGAGACGAGTCAGATCACTCACAGCTTGTCTGGATTTCTGTTTAAATGTTTTTGTATTTTTGTCTAAAAATAAAAAGTAAAAGATGCGCAGCTTCTGTGAATGTCGCTGCCGTGTTCATGAATTCGTCACTGGAAGAAGAAGCTTTGAAGTAAATGGATGAATCTTAAGACTCCATCTCTTTCCACTCCATAAAACGTACACATCGAGACCAAGATGTCACCTGATATTCTTCGCTCAGTATTTTATCAACAGACAGTTTCATCCTGTTGAGAGGTTTCAAGATGACTCACTCCTCAGTGACCTAAGACGTTCTTTACGTTCACGCCAACAGTTTCTTTTTGAGCTTAGTTGTAGCAGCCGCCTGCAGAGCGACGCTTTAACGCGGCTGTGAATCAAGGCGACTTGTTCTTGGCTCGTTCACCGCCAAATTTAATTTAAAAGTAATATTCAGAAACCTGCTGCGGAGAAACACACTCCCTTCTTCTCCGTGAATCCTCCCCAGCTGGAAAAGCATCTGCATCCAGCCACAGGGCTCAACGCCAGACTAGTAGTCAAACGGTGAATTATCCTTGTTTCCTGTTTAAGATCCAAAAAACTTTTTGTTTTGCCAGAGATGCACTTACTTTTTGTCCAGGTAAGCCCGAGTCACCGGGGTCTCCCTTTGGTCCAGGGCGGCCCTGAAGAGACAAACCAACAAGATGGATGAAGCAGCGTGACTTTAACACTCTGATCAGCAACATGAGATTCAGAGGATCAATGTTCTGCCAGCGGCGACGCTCAAACAGGTGTCAGGTAAATGTACTTCAGTATCAAAAGTAGTTAAGCTGAGTGGCAGCTGGTGGAGAAGCAGCTGGTTTTAGAAGCAGAAGAGACACTGGAGGACGAGTTAGAAAATATCTGGTTCTTTTATCAAAGAGTCGAAGGTACAAGCCTCAAATTCAATTCAAATTTTTCATCACGTGTCGCTGTAAAAATGGCAGAAGCTCAATTTGTTTTTGCACAATTTGTAGAATAAATTAATTCAACCTCCAGATCTTTGGTCATTTTCAGATTAATTTAGCAGCTACAGAGCTGTGAAAACATGATTTCTCATAAAACAAGTTGATGATCAAAACTTGAACCTATAGTTTCTATACGAGTCTGCCGGGGAAACCAGGGAGACGCTGGAGGTTAAACTTCAGTCTTTCGTACGAGACATCTCACCGGTGTTTCTGTAGACTAAAGACGCTGAGCCGCGACGTCCATGTCTGCTTTACAATCGCAGCACAACGGTTCATATGTTTAATATTTAAAATCTCAATCTGCAGAGTAACTTAGTAACTAGTAAAATAGCTGAATAAAGCGGATTCTCGGGGACAGGACGCAGTTACGTCACTGTGTCTTCTGTGACCTTTGATGAGACAAAACGAAGGAACATTTCTGTTTAATTTGGGTTCATCTCGTCTCCGAGAAGGAAATCCAAACTCTGATTTATTAACATTCGGTGATATTGAGGTTTCAGGTCTTCTTGGTATCACTTCTCCGTCTCAGACATGGAGGAATGTGAGTCTCTGCCACAGATACTCCCCAGCTTGTAAATTCCCTTCAAAAATAAATCGCCAAATAATCCCCGCTCTGGTGTGCTGAGGCATCCTGGGATTTATGTTTGGTTGCTGACAACGCTGAAACCGTGTGTGTGTGTGTGTGTGGCTCAGAACGGGGAGTGTGTGTGTGTGTGTGTGGCTCAGGTGTGTTTATAGACTCACAGCCTCTCCTGGAATCGACATCCCGCTGGGTCCTTGAGGGCCGGGCAGACCCATGGGCCCAGGTGGTCCGAGATCTCCCCGCGGGCCGAGTGGTCCCTTTTGAAACAGAGAGAGAGAGAGAGAGAGAGAGAGAGACGGTCAGATAAGAAACTTTTAAACACAGGAGGAGTTTGTTGTTGATGTCTGCTGGTGCGTCTCATCCCAGTCAAAGCAAAACTAATGTGGCAATCTGTTAAAAAGACCAAGAGGAGATGCTGAACGCTGCTGCGCCGATCAAAACTAACCTTCCCTTCATGTCACAGACAACAACAAAAACACTCATTTAATAAGTGGAATCAGATGTGCTTACTCTCTTCAAAGCTTTCATACTTTAAACAATCTTTTGTTTTCATCCAGGGCAGATAACTCCAGACTCTGATCCAGCTCAGAAAAAAAACTCTCATTGATTTTTGATTTTTCTCCACAGCCTTAATTAAAAGTTTTAAAGATGAGACAGACGAAAGAGGAAGTCGTCTTAAAGATACTTACGACAGGACCAGCCTCTCCTCTCTCACCTCGGGGACCTTTGCTGCCGGGGGCACCCTGAGGAGGAGGAGGAACATTTATCACGTTAACACAACAGAGACGAGAGAGAACAGACCGAAGGTGGAAACTGTGGAAAATATCTCCCTCAAAGACCCTGAAGACCTGAAGACCTGGCTCCAAATCTAAAGTATTTGACTGAAACTTTGAATGTTCCTCATGAGTGAGTGACCGAGTCACAACAACATGTTCAGCTTTTATTTCCTGAGAGTCAAACACCTCAAAGCTCCGATAATCCTCCTCATCAGGACTGTGTTCGAATGTTCGAGCTCATCACTCACAGAGAGCTGACTGAAAAATGAGAAAATAAACTGTAGTTTGTTTTGACTCCCACACACACACACACACACACACACACACACACACACACACACACACACACACACCCCTGTGAACTGTTTCCTCCTGTTTGTTTGACAAAAACTATGACGGAGCCTTTTTAAAACTTAAACGTCTTTGAGTTACTGTGACGCATTTTTCATGACATTTGTGAAGGATAAGGGAAATACGGACCAACACCAGCGTTAGCCGCATCCTCACAGGACAGTGTGCAGCTGGGTAGATGGATGTTAGGGGCGGTCAGAGGGGAGGAGAGGAGGCTGGAGGTTCATCCATCAACTGTCAGTCAGGTCGACTCTCAACATGCTGCGCCACAGTTTACCTTCTCCCCTCTCTTAAAAGATTTTATGAGCCATTGCAAAGAAGCTTTCCCGTGGTTATTGTGCTTCAGGGCGCAATATTCTCCCTTGTTCAACATACAGTATATAAATAACCATAAATAACCTGACAGGAGAGGGCTTTTAGAAATAAAAGCCCTGTATTTAGGTAAAAGCAAGTAAAGAAAACAGGTTTTAAAATGTGCTGGTGGTGAAAAAGTAACAGTGAAAAATGTCAGAAAGTTCAATCCCTAAAACTGGAGATGAGTGAAGAAGCAGGAAAATCCCCACAGAGACTGTTGGAAGGATCGCATGCGTCCTTTTTCTTTCTTTAATCTTTGACCATAAGATTACATCTCTCACTTTATATTTCATGTCCACCTCGTTACATCTCACCGCTGGCTCACAAACACTGTGTGTGTTGGTCTGAAGTCTGTTTGGGGGTGTTCACATTCTCACTGCACGTCGTTGTAAAAACATCAGTGTATGTGTGGGAAATGACCCGTGCTTGGTTTATACATCTGGACCCAGGACTGGAAAAAGCGATGCCAGTGAACATGGTCCAGGCAGCCATCATGTTTCCTTCAAAATGTGTCTGGCATGATGGTCTCTGGGAGACGGGGCCGGGCCGTCAGATAAAAGTAGAAAAGTAAAAGATTTCTCCCCGAAATGTTGAAGTGTCCAAAGTGGAAATACACAGTTGAGAAGCAGAAAGTCTAAACTGTGCCGCTCCTCTGCAAAGACACAGGCTGACAGATAGACTGAGGAGGTTCTTACCACTGGACCCTGAGTCCCTGGGAGCCCGTTGGCCTCTGAGGTGCAGGTACAGGAGTTGGGGAGAGACGGACACTTCAGCTCATCTCTCTGTTGGAGAAGGAAACAGACAATTCATCCGTCAAAAACAACAGAGAATAGAAGAGAAAGAAGCTCCAGACAGACAGAGCGTCTGAAAGAACAGGATCACACCAGCCAAAAGAAAAATCACGTCCAAGTTTCAACCGATTCACCTCTGGACCGGAGTTCACATCTGAGAGCGTCTGTGTCACTTCATTAGCAGCAGATGATTCACACGGTCACGGCTCAGAGCGTAAAACATTAACGCGTAAACTGTGAGTGAGCGTCCTAACAAGGTGTCTACAGCCGCAGCAGAAACACTTCAGCACATCTAAAGTGTTTCCTTCCAGAATCTTCCAAAAACATTTTAACTAGAAACAACACAGCGTGCAGAGTGTCCCTGAATGCCCTCCCCTCCCCCCGAAAATGTTTCCGTGTCCGCACGTCACTCCTGAGGTAAACAGTTTAGACAGCATTTCTGTACGTTTAACTCTTGCACAAGACAAAGAGCAGAGCCAGGGTTCTGATCTGTGGTGTTTTCTGGAGCCGATCGGCCAACAAAGGATACCAGAACAAATCTGCGGGCGCCGTGACAGCACCCTGGGTGATTTTCCAGTAGGGGGGGGGGGGGGGGGTACACATTTTCTGGTTCAGAGATTTCAGCACAATGATAAAATTAAACTTTTTTGAAAGTAAAAACCTCAAGAAAACAGTTAAGCTATCCAAAAAAAAAGCCTCCTGGATGGAAAGGGCAGAGGAGGGAGGGGACGTGACACGTTCTGTCGTTTCTGGAGCTGCAACAATTAGTCAATTCATTGATTGGAAACAAACATTTGCCGTTTCTGATGCTTTTCTTTGTTTTATGTGACGATAAAATTTAAATTTATCGGCTTCTGGGAACAAAGAAACAATTTTATAGATTTTATAGACGTAACAATTAATTGAAAAAATAATATATCAGCGGGTAAATTAATAAAATAAAATAACAGTGAGTTGCAGCCACATGATGTCTCACATCTGCTGCTTTATGATTCATTTCACATCAATAAATCATTGGCTGAGAGGGAACGGGACGTTTACAGTTGTTGGTAGGTGTATTATGAACAGGACGGTCTTTATGCTAAGCTAAGCTAAGCTAAGCTCTCTTGATGCCTGGACAGTTGGTATCGATCTTCTCATTTCCTCTCAGCCAGAACGTGAAGAAGATAATCTCCCAAACTGCTGAACTGTAACGTGAAGCTTCAGCGTTCTTCATGTTCTACTGTTCCGTCTCTCGGTTCTAATGAATCGTTACTGTTCTCTGTTTAAAACACAGAACACATCCAGCACCAGGAGAGGGTTCAGTTTTCTGTTGTGGGGAACTCTAGCGTTTTGCAGATTTGGAGAAGACCAGTTCTTTTTTATTTCACTTCATTAACGGATCTAAAACTTCTCACCAAGAACTTGTTTTCCTCCCTGGATCTTTTTACAATGTACATTTCTCTTTGTTCCTTACTCCTACAAGTGGGAAATATATGAGCTGTAACTATACGTTGCTGGAGGCCAAAGAATCAACTGACTATTGGAAACGTCATCTTAAATTAAAAACACACTGGGCTTGTGTTGTAGACTTTTCAGTTCATGCATGGCCATTTATTTTCACAGGGATGTGAGCCTCCTGCTGTCTGGGTGGATATTTCCACTGAGTCCACGCTGATCGCTTCAATTGGGATCATTTAATGTCAGTGAAAACAGCCCAATCCAGCAGCTGCCCCTGCTCTGCAGCAATTCAGATAATAATCCACCGGAGTTGAATCCTTTTCAAAAAACTTTTGGACGTCCAACTTGCAGACGTGCTGTGCTCAGACAAAGCTGTATTTGTTACAGTGTCTCTGGAGATCTCTGCTTGGGACTGAAGTGAGAAACCTTCACGTTGAGAAAGGCCAGAGTCCAGCCACTAAACAACAGCCCAAGCTGCGCTGCATTTAAAAGCTCATACTGTAGCTGCTGCTGCTGCTGCTGACAGCTTGAAAACAAATGCCCCTCTCTGTTCAGCCCTGCAGCTGAGAAACTCCAGAGATGATCGCAGGAGTTCATGAGTGAGGGACGGAGGATAAACAGGAAGGAAACGACTCCTATAGGGACTGTTGCAAAGCTGCTGCTCATGTGTGATCATTATGTATTTACCTTCTCTGCTGCCGACAGATTATTACCAGCTTTTCTCATTTCTCTTTGGGCTTTAGGAAAACGTGATTTTCTCACATTTTACGAACCAAACAATGAATCAAATAATCATGAAAATAAGTGACGGGTTAATCAGTGATGAAAGCTGCAGCACTGGTTAGATACTGGACATTATTTAAAAGCTCTGACTGTATTTTTGTGCTAATGAGAGAGCTGAAAGTGAACAGAAACGACACGTCTGTTATAATCACTGAAATGAGTCGCTCCCAGATGTTAGCGTTGAAGCTAGTTAGTAAAATGAATGAACGGTGACCAAAGCTGAGAGATCAGAAGTTCCCTTTCAGCTGTTTGTCTGTGCTCTGAAAGTGAGTTTGTGTTTTGTATTATATCTCACACCCTGCTGACCTTCTCATCAGCCGGCTCATGCCTCTGAATTTCATATATACTCTGTTTATTTTTCTCTTTGAGCCTGTTCTGATTCTGATTATCCGGCTCTGGGCCGGAGCTTTGATCTGCTGCTGAGATCTGTAAGAAAATGAAGGACACACTCTGACTCCCTCGGACCTGCAGCTGAGTGTTACAGCACAAACACACTCATCTGCTTTTTACTGTCAGGAGGCCGTAATTACTTCTGCTTTTAACTGCAGCTCAACATGTTGCCAAGAACAAGTCCACTGTCCCTGAGTCTGGACGCTTCCATTCCAGAAATGTCTGAGAGAAACCAGGTGGTCTGATGGTTTTCTATAAGAGGATGATCCGTCAGAACATCTGAAGATGCACCACAGATGTAAAAACAAATATACAAAAAAACACAAAGGAAACGGCACTGACACACGAGCAGATGTGAGTTTTCGAGCTGCTCCGGGTGCAGAAATAATCTCAGGACAGTGTGTATGAAGTCGAATACTGTTGTTTTTCCATCGAGCGTCACAGATCAAGATGAACCGAATGGCCACAAACAATGGCATCAACATTTTCTTTACTTTTAAAAAATAAAATGTGTATTGAAAGCACATGTCTACATTTAAATCTACAAACTCTTTGCTTTATTTTCTGTTTTAGGCCGAATTAAAAAATGGTATCAGGGAAGAAAATCTTTAGTCCACAAGCCAAAAACTCCATCAGACATTTCTACACTTTATAATCCAACTACGGTTTAAAAGCTCGACGCTAAAGCTGAAGATCTACCGTCACTCAAATGTTGCGTATGAACACATTAGGTAAGTGAAGTGAAAAGGCCCAGTGTCCATGTTTCATGGAGGTGGGGGTTCTCCTACCATGGAGGGGAGGTCACAGCATCTGTCTCTGCTGGTCCAGCCCAAGCTGCAGACAATATCGAACATCTGGAGCTGGAACTGTGGAGGAGAAAAAAAAACAAAACAAAACATGGAAATGGTGTTGTGGTACATGTGTCTCTGATACGCCCTTCACAGCTCCCAGAAGACAAACAGAAAAACAGCAGAGATCAGCCCCGGGGAGGAGAGGAAACGTCTTATACTGCAGCCATGTTGACGGCTTAACGTACAGCCTCGGTCCGCTCGTCCTAATCGCTCCCTGACTCTGTTAGGCCCCGGGATTTTAAATCACTCGCTCCCAGGCTGCGGCAGCAAAACACATCAGCTTTTCTTCTACTTGAAAGAATAAACATCTAAACGTTTTCCTCACACAAATGAAAAGTTAAATCTTTACTTTCACCACCAGTTTACTGAGTCTTTCTCTAATCATGTTCATGTTTCTGAGCTATTTACTACTGAACTGGACAGAAGCATCTAAACACCTTGTCATTTTATTACGAGGTTATTACAATTAAGTTAAAACAGTAATAATTTGGGCAGCAAACACAAAGACGTAAAGGAAACAGGCAGCTGTTGGTGAATGAATGTATTTATGTATTTTCTTCCTTCACACTCGTCATGGAGTTTGTTTAAAAATCATCCGAGCAGCTGCTGCTTCTCAGGACATTAATGGCCAAAACAAAAGTCTCAAGCTGCTGAACAAGTGGACACTTCATCATCACTAACGACCCACCGATGTCTCTGGTGTGATGTTAATGTGGAGTAACATTCATCGATGGACAGAAAAATGAATCAGCAGCTACTTCGATCGTCGATTCGTCTTTAAAATCATTTTTCAAGCAAAAGTTTCTCCGGTTTCTCAATTGTTCAATTTCTGTAGTTTTTTCTTCTTTTTCTTACATAATCAAGACAATAATCAGAAGACAAATCATCAATGAGAACATGTCCACTGTCAGTACAGCGCCGCGCTAACACTGTCGCATTAACAACAGACCCCCATAATAAACATAATAAATCACACATTTTGACAAGGAACCCTGAAGTCCCTAAAGTCTGTGATGAATTGATAAATTGATAATTTGGTGAAATGGATTCAAAGGGTTGTGAACACAGTTTTTTATACGTGGTATTCCCCTCTGCTGGACACTCAGCCATATGCAATTACAATATACTATAATGGTTCAGCTGTTGTGGTTTCGCTCAGTTGAAATCTGATTTCTTATTATCATTGTTGTTGTTGTAGCTGCAGACTGCCAAACACAATCCTCCTCGCAGCAGTAACATATCAGTCAAACTCTAAAATTACAAAGTCCAAATTAAAGGAAAATACTTTTAAAATCTTTGTGCATTGGTAGTTTGAGCTTTCTTTTCTTGCTCTGCAGGATCTGAGTTCACTTACAGTTGCTGATTCTCCTTTGGAGCCGATGGACTTGGACATCTTGCCCAGAACCTGGTAGCCATCGCTGGACGTGTTTCCAGCGGCCTTGATCTCCTTCTCAGCCACTTCTTGGCAGTCGATGTTGAGTTTGACGCTGGTGGATGAGACCAGGATATGGAGCTTCAGAGAGAAAGAGAAAAGAAGAAGAGAAAGGAGAGAAGAAAAAAAAAAAGAAAAGAAGAAGAGGTTTTATTGGCACATTCTTTGTTCTACGACCAAGTCTTGTGTCTGGTTTTTATCCTGATGGCCTGCAAATTATTAGGTTATGGCGAGTCTGGCCGCGGAGCCTGAGCCGAGGGTGGACGTGCTCGCTCGTCTCCGCTGTAGTTCTGTTTATTGAAACGCTGCTGGAATGTAAGAGAGCTCACACAGAGGAAAACCAGCGCTTCCTTTCCATTCATTCAAAAAGAAGAAGTGCTCCATCGCAGCAAACAAGCTGCTGCACAAAGTAGGAAATTAAAGTTTGGGTCGAGTGATGGATCGTATAGAAATCCATATGGTGCTTTGATCTTTGAACCGCTTCCCCTGGTTTCTCTGAAAATATGAGTTTTTCAGGGAGTTTAAAGTCACATCTGAGAGAAGAATCGCTTCTTCACCTTGTTCGGTCAAAGTTCCACGTTGTTATGTGAACTGATTTAAAACTGCAGAAGGCCCCAAAAGCTTCAGCTCTTACTGGCGCAGCTTCTCTTCTCCAGTCGTTTAAAGAGGTTACTTCACAACAACACGCCACCAGGGACGAACTGATACGACTCCTTCTGTCCTCCTCAGTAACGGCACATCTGCAGACACTGTTCTCAAATGTAAGACACGTAACATGCGACCTCACTGCAGGAGGGAAAAACAACTTGTTTATGTTTAAGTCACATGACTACATGTTCCTGCATCCTGACTGTTTCAAACATTGCAGAGCTGCTGAAATCTGTGATAAAAACATGTAAAGAAATCTTTGTTTTCTGTTATTTTCTTAATGATGTAATAAAATCTAACTTTACTTTTGTCCATGTAATTATGGGGGGGGGGGGGGGGGGGGGAGTGTCCCTGACCAGCCTTTACTAAAAAAAGATCCCACAGTTCCACAGAATGAGGTTCACTGATCTCACATCTGGATGAAGACAGCGCCGGTTTCAGATCGGAACCTGATATCAGCAGAAATCCTGAGCTGAAGAATGTGAATCAGTATCAGCGGCTTTATGTAAACACTTCCAGTCAGGAGATGTTGAACAACCCTGATCGGTATCTACACGGCTCGGCCTCCACTCAGAGATTTCTCCCTCTCCTCCAACAATCACTGCTGCAGCTGGGGAAAAAAAAGGAGTCTGGAAGCCAAATCTTCCGAAATTCATTCCCTCCATCTCGGTGGATGGCATGACACCGATTCCACTCTTGACTGTGAAACAACCGAGGCAGCAGCAGAACCGTCTCTGCAACACCACAATGCATTTCTCCTCGCTCAGATCTCCCTCGCCACATCTCCTCATGATGTCATTTTGCGGTAAGCCATGAGCGCTGACTTTACTACAACTTGTCCTCGAAGCCGGCCGCTCTGAGGCGGCGGCCGGTCGGAGGGAGTCCAACTGTAAGGAGGGAGAACGCGGCTTTGTTAAAAAGCCGCAGAGCGGCTGCTGGCAGCTGCGGCGGCCGCGGCTCGCTGCTCGTGGTCAGTCAGCGTCTGCGGAAACGCAGAGGCATGTTTAACAGACCGCAGAGACACGGAGACGTCCAGGGAGGGAAGCTGTTTCCATTTACACTTTATCTGATGCTCTGCGGCTCTCGTGAAGGCAACAGGTTACTGTCTAAACTTCAGGGTGTCGCTCGCCACACTTCAGCAGGACACGCTCATCTGTGGACGCTGCAGCTCACAGGATATGGATTTTAAAAGCCAGTAACAACACTGATATGGTCGGACTGACGCTGCCAATATTTAAATGTGATCGGGTTCATGCCAAAAGCGTTTCACTCAGACCTCAGGCTGGAAAATCCTCCGAGACTGAGAGGAAACTCTGATACACTGTTCCTGTAAAACACACACTGATGTATTAGTCTCTGGGGGATCTCTCTCTCTCTCTCTCTCTCTCTCTCTCTCGTGGATAATATAAGCTATTACTGGCCATCAGATTTACCAAAATAAAAGCAGGGCTGAATTCATTCCTCAAGCTTTAGAGCTTCACCCTGGATCGATCGTCAGAGATCTCACATCAAGTATTTATGGGAGGAACTTGCAGTTTGACAGAAGGTGAATACAACACATTATTTAAAAGGAGAAGCCTGGTAATATTCAACATCCTTCATTCCTTCACAAGAGTGAATCAGAGCCTGATATATCTGAGCCGTGGAGCTCCTCTGTTTCCAGACACTGTTAAAAACGCGTCCTCACCACGGCACCAACGTGAAGTTGTATTTTTAGCAGAGTAATGAGTGTAAAGCATAAAGCCTCATGTTCGTTTCCGATCTGACGGAGAATATACTGATGGACAGCTTTAAGTGGCTGCGGTCAGTGACAGCTTCCATTTATCATCCCGCGGGCGAAGAGGACGCCGGGCTGATGTCGACATCTCAGTTTGAAACCGAGCAGAATGTCAGTCATCACTCACGCAGTGTAAAGAGCTGCCTTCCACCTCCACACTGCTCTCCTCCCTCCCTGATACTAACGTCTCCAGACAGTTCCCATTAGTCAGAGCATCTTCACTTTCCGTCTTTGTTTTTCAGCTCTGAGTCTGATCTGGAGTTACAGTCACTGGCAGACTTGTTAATCTATTCCTCTGCGGCTGACGCACATCGTTTGGCAAACGGTTGATAGTTAAGGAAAAGCTCGCATCCTGCACAGGGAGGATCTCCGCTCCTTGTTTAGTCCGGTCGAGACCGCAGAGACGCTCAGAAGCTCTTCAGGTATCCACAACAGATCTGACTGTTTGACTGATCTCCGCTGTTAAACACATCAGTGGGGGGGGGGGTTCAGAGGCGCAGCCAGTGCTGAGTGAGCTGGTTGGTAAAGTGCTGCGAGAGGGGGGAGCGGGGATTAGTGAAGTCAGACGTGGTGATGTGGCGGCGGACCCTGACATCTCCGTGCCTCTGGCTCAGTCACAGACCCAAACATCAATTTACAGGGAGGCTGCAGTCGGGTTTGAGCCGACTTTCTAAATCATGATTTGTTTTCTTTTTCTGCAAAGCTGTGACAGCGAGTTCAGAACGTCTCGGTGAGCTGTGAAGGTTCGCCAGCTCTTTAAATCCTTTAAATCTTTAAAGTGGACAAAATGATTCCCTCACTTTATCCCAACGACAGAAAAACAGAAGACCAGAGTGAAAGGCCTCAAAGGTTTTAACCTCCGTGACAAACACACAGTCTGTCCACCGTGCAGCAGCAGCCTGCAGCAAGAAACTGAAATCCAGCTACCAGGGTTTATGGCCACGTCTGACCTCTGACCTTTCTGTGGAGGGAGGCAGGGGGAGGAAGAATTTCACTCTCAGGCAACAAGTCTGCATCACTTTCTCTTTCCCTCTGACGCTCCTGATAATTTCATCACATCTGAAACCAACATGTCCGAGACTTCTTCCAAAAATTCCTTCTGAAAAAAGTCTTTTAATCCCGTTCGGGGTTTTAGAAGGAGTCGCTGTTGTGTCTTTTGTTTAAAAACGATCTTCAAGATTTACTCTAAAACTCATCGTTTAAATTCCTAAACTGTCTCCATTTTTCTGCCGGAGGGAAGAGAGAAATCGCAGAGCAAAAACACTTTTGGGGGGGGGGGGGGGGGGCGTCAAAAATAAATTATGGCTGAAACTGTCCAGAGGAGCCGCATCATCAGAGGGCAGCTGTCACCGAAGTACAGCAGGTAATCTAAATCTTCGACAGTCTCTACTATTATTACAAATTGCTCTGTCAGACGTCCCCGCTGACACTAACATCTCACCCTGCAGCAGACGCAGCGCACAGAGGCATGCTGGGAGGTAAAACCACAAGAATTCCCCTGCGGTCGGCTACCAGAGGCAACGGAGGCAGGACCAGCGTCTGCCTCCACCAAACTGCTGCTGAGCCGAGAGGAGGGGGGGGGGGGCTGCAGAGAGAGATGGGAGTGCGGTCCCACCTCCCTGCTGGCGCTCCTCAGCTGCTCTGATGTAATTGTTTAATAGCAATAGCAGTGACCCAGTATTTTCCAGGCAGGCGTCCCAGCAGGGACTGCAGCGCATTTCTAACGTTCTCCCCCTCTCAGAGGAGCCGAGGGATCCTTGTGAAAGTTTGTGATATCGTCGCAGGCCGTCCACGCCGCTTCCCCCTCAGCGGAACGTCTTGTACACAACTGTCGCTATCAGCGCCACAGCTCTGAGCCCGGCCGCACTTTATAACACATTTCCTCCGACTGGAAACTGTCCGTATAAAGACACAGCTTCCCCGCAGGATGTCTCTCATCACCGTCGCCGGTTGGCCTCTAACGTTGGCTTTCTGTCGGACAGTGTTGTAACTTTATGACCTAACTCTAGAGAGAGGTAAGTGTCAGGTGATCATCCTGCTCAATTAAAGGTCAAAATCTAATGGATCTGCTGCTTTCACCGTTGCAGTGATGATTGATTCACGTCACAGATTATGATCCATTGTTGTACTTTCACATAAATAAAAGAGTTTCCAGATTCTTCAAATACTTTAACAGACTTGAAATACAGACAGGACCTTCTGTCGTTTCGCCTTCCCTCGCTGATATAAACGGTTCTTGTTGCTCGCTGTCTTTGAGGTGGTAAAAAAAAGTAAATAAGTGAAGTGTCTGAAAAGGACTAAAAATCTACTTTCTGTTTTATGGTCTTTGAGGAGAAAATGGCTTCAAAAGCCGGATTAGTGTGTCAAACAACCCCGTGGGCTTTTTCAGAGGTTTGTTTCAGTTCAATTTGGAGTCTCAAATGTAAAAACAATGGTTGCTTACATCAGCAGCACCGTGTTTGACTTTCAAAAAGGGGTTTGAAGAGTCTTTTAACACGGACGTCACGTCATAAATGTTCGAATTCCAAGTGAAAAACAGGAAAACAGCACGAAAGCAGAGCCACAAAATCATCAGCTTTAATTTCCGTCGCTCCGTCTCTGCCTGGATACTAAAACCCAACCAGCTCCACTGGAGTCAGACTGTCTGTTGAGCATTTTACAACATCCAGAAGACACAGACGGACACCTCCATCAGTCCAGAGGAGGGTTTGAACCCTCAACTCAACTACACACCTGAAGAGCTTCGTGAGTAAAACGCAGCTCCAGTTCGCAGCACTTGAGCATCACGTGCTCTGCGTTTTACAACCTGCAGAGGACCATCTGCTCGTCTGAGCTGACATAACTCTTCAGGAACACGTCTGTAGTTGCGTGTGAGCCGCTCTGCTCTGTAACACACAACACATTTGGAATCTCAGGTATCCACAGCGTCCGTGTGATCCGGGGGTCGTCCGGCGAGAACAAAGCGGAGCGAGTCGATTGATGTGTCACGCCTCAGTCGCACCTACGACTAAAAAAATGTTCTATAACTCAACCATCACAGACGTATTCGACTTTCAGTTCTGTTCGATTCAAATATGCTTCAAACCCAGAACACACATATGGACTACATACTGCTGCTCCTCGTCCGCAGCCCTGTAGCGTGTTTCGTCTGACCGCCGTCTCTGCACAGAACATGACGGCGGCGCGGGGTCGTCATGTTCTCCAGCCACGATGAAGGGACAGGTGTCTGTCCGACGGACTCGTGCATTTACCTTGTGGAAGCTCCCGTGGAACATCCTCTTCACTTGAGCGCTGTCGAACGTCACCCTCTGGATCTCGCCGCGCTCGTCTTTGTTGTAGAAGGACACGGTCTGGCTGGAGGCTGAGCGGAGACAGAAATATGTTACGTGAGTTCATTTGTGGGAGTGAACTGATCAGGCAACACAAACACGTTTACAGGAGAGGAGATAACTGGAGCTGGATTTTTATTTTTGTGTGTGACTCATTTCCTTCAGCTGTGAATGTTTCTGCCTCCTTCACTAGAAACCTGTGGTGATAGTCAGTTCCTGAAAATAAGGAAAATAACACCTTTTTAAAAGTTCATTTCAGTTTTTTTTTGCCAATTGAAAACATCAAACCGTCTCTACCGACTTACAGGAAATGAAATCAGATGCACTGACTCTCTGCTGCCTGTCAAGCAGTTCAAATTAATATATTCTAACTTTGTGAGCAGGTATTTAGATTTATAGATTTATAGTAGTAACAAAGCTTTATAGTTAGAACAGCAGAGCACACTGTTTTTGGTCATTTTTAGGAACCCGTCTTGAAGGCCAGTTTGAATGAACCATATTTACAAACCGGACCAGTCTACACAGGATCCTTCCTGTTTAAAGACAGGGGCCTTATTAGATGACCCGGAGACAGATTCAGAGAGATAAGGTCCAAATCGAAGCAGGAGAGCTCAACATATATCCTGACCTCTGTTCCCTCAGGGTCAAGCTCCTTAAACACTCTCTGGATCCTACAATTCCCATAATGCAAATATGTCTAACCCCAAGACTCTTGGCTGTTTTCTCAAAGCACCGGACTTACAGAAAACAGAGACGTTACGCAACTGTTTCCACAGGCTGAACGGTTCCCCTCACTGTATGATTAGTAAACTGATCTTCTGCCCTAAACTAACAAAATGTGTTTTTGTTTTACATGTGTGAAGAGTTACATAACGGTGGGACGCGGTTCAATGCACTTAGCATCCAGATGATGATTTCACACGTGACTGTGCAGACCGTTTGTCACAATGCAAAATGTATGGATATCTGGAAAACCGTTACTACGGCGACGTTGATCTGAAATGGATCGTCGTCCACAACCTGCTGATATTTAGTGAGAGTCCGTTCTTCCCGGAGCTTCTCGAGCCACTGGCTGCCACACGACCCCGAAGCTGAAGATTTCCACCCCCGTGCTGAACGCTTGGCGCGGTTTTATTTTCATCATGTGCTTTTTTTTTTCTTCCTCCAGACAAAACTTTGATGATCGCGAACAAAGAGCTCAATTGTAACTTCATCTGTCCGCAGCGCTTGTTTCCAAAACAACTCTGGCTGATCCAGATGTTGCTTTGACGTTTGGCTTTTGTGATGAGGTCACAGGTAAGGTTTCCATCTGTGACGCTCCCACGCAGACTCTGTTTGTGCATCAACGCCGCCCCACCACTCCTCCGCTAAAAACCTCTCCTGTAGCTCCTCAGCAGTCACCTGGGGGTCGACTCCGTCTGGAAGTTCTCTCTGTCTTCCAGATCTTTGTCTCGACTTCCACAGTTCCCCTGAACTACCATTTCTTAACCACATCTCAGACAGTTGCAGCCTTCCCTGCTCTGCAGGCATCAGTCAGCTTCATTTTCAGATCCTCAGTCAATTCTTAACGACAATTCTTGACCTGCTTTACGAGTCCTAACGAGTTACTGAATTTGTGTGTTTTACAAGGACAAAATGTTTTTGCATGCCACAGTTACTGCTGATAAAACATCTGTAATGTCTGTTTGCCTCAGAGTTATATTTACATATTTTCACTTCTAAAATCAACAACATAAATTTGCTCAGGGACGCACAAACTTTTGCATACCCTTGTATAAAGCAGCTCCAGTTCTCAGCTTTAAAAGCTAAAGTTTGATATTTGAGGACGAAGCGTTAACTCCCGTATTCCCCAAAAGGTTGAACAATTCCTTTAATAATGTAGAGTTTCTCTCTGTGGAGGATCTGAACCTCAGTGCCATCCAACAAGTGATGGTCACTGGAGGATTCCTGCTGAAGCCCGATGACAGACTGAAACCGCGGCTTTAGTGGAGCCAGCTGAGCTCGGCCGATGACACGAGCTTCTCGAGGAGGAGGGGAGTCGTCTCGGTTATCAACCGAGACCGAAGCAGCTGGAGGGCACAGCCGGCTCATTACACCCCACTCAGCTTGTTTCAGGATCAGATACGACACAACGAGGCACAGCTGCTGCACACATCTCACCATGCACACATCAGAGGACGAGAATAGAGGATGATATTTACGGTCGATAGTGAGTCCGGTCTCTGGCTTGTGGTCATTGCTCGACACCTGCCAGATGTCGAAGGCCTCGGTGGGCGAGTCGGGGAGGAGGCGGAACATGAGGATGATGGTGTAGGCGTGGGGAAGGCCGTCAGGGTGGATCTCTCTGTTCATGGGACAGAAAGAGAAGACATGTTGGATTTACAGTAAATATTGAGAGGGTTTATATATATAATATCCCTTATTTCCACCTATATATTATATATATGACGACAACCAATAAAAACTGCACGGCCACGACCAGCGTAAGCAGTTTTAATCGAACACAACATGAAGAGGTGTGATTCGAACGTCACACACAGCTGTAGTACACTACCTCCTTTATCTTCATTTGTGACCAAGTGTTTGTACATTGTATTTCTGCCACTTCTACTTGGTAAAAAGGATTTTGTGAAAACCCTGTTCCGCCCCCGTCTCAGTTATTGTATTAGAGCAGGATGTTTCCCATTTGTCCCTCTGATGTCACTACACATTTTGGAAAGTCGAACTTGGTAAACAGTCAGAACTCAAGCTGTTTTCCGCCACTTTGGTGTTGCATGTGATATTCTGGATATGGGACGCCTGTGTTGGGCGGTGGCCAGTGTTAACAGTCTAGTTTGCGGTCGGGTTTGCACTCGGTGGCCTGACGGGGGCCTTGTTGTGTGAAACAGCTTCAGCGTGGACCGAGGAGCTGTTTCAGAGGCGGGCTGCGCTCCGTCGTGACCTGCAGCTCCGTCTGACCTCACAGAGCGTCGTAAATCCACTGACCCAGTTTGTGCAGAGAATGAGCTCAGACAGTGTGAACACAGCTGTGCAGGACGCTTCACGTTACTGACACGGACAAACTTGGAAGTGTTAAAAACATTAGCAATGACAACAAATCTGCACTGTCACCGGGAGGCTCCAGGAGAAAGAGCCGGTTGCGCTCAGCTGTGTGTGTCTCAGTGTCGACGTGATTCACGTCACACACACACACACACACAAAGTGTGTAAGTTGAGAGAATTTATGATTCTTGTTACTGACAAGAAAATGGTAGAAAAATCAATTAGTGCAACAATAGCTGCATTATTCAAATGGTCTCTTGTTATGAGCGAAGAAGTTGCACGAAAGACAGAAAAGTTAAGAATACGTTTCTCTGCTTTAGACGTTAACTTTTCATTTAGCTAACTAATGCACACTACCCTTACTATGTTACTTAAACTTATCTGTTAGCTTAGCTTAATGTCCATTGATGGGTCATTAGCTTATGTACAACCTTAATTCCCTCCCTGTTTTCAAGCTGGACACTTCTCCACCAGTACGACACAACCAACATACTTAATCTACTGCGCAGTAAAATCTAAGCATTCAGTTTCCTCCTGTTCGCATTTAACCAGCAACAGCTCCTGAGCTCTACTCACAAAGAATCATGGGAGCTGTAGTTGTTGAATAATAACAAAATGTGTTGTTTTACTCAGTCATCTCAGAACAGGTTTGAGTTTGTACAAAAGGAGAATAAAGAAACCTGTGAGAACCAGAACAGAAACTACCAAGCTACTTGGCGTGACACTCACGTTGTGGGCTGAGAGAGGAAGGCGTTCTTGTGGAGTCTGTACGCTGTGTAGCTGTTGAAGGAGCCCGGCTCCATGGAGACGCCTTTGATGTAACTGTAGGTCTTCTCTGTCAGGTTGAACGCCTCGAGCATCCTGAAGCCTGGAACACAGCGCATCAGGAGCTTTGTCTTTAAATGAGACACTCGTCACATGGAAGCAATCAAACCTCCTATTGCACAATCACAGATGGAGGAATGACACGTCGGATTAGTAATTAGTCATTTGTGGGTTCTTACCAGGTGAAGTGAATCCGTTCAGGAAAATCAAAGGACAGGCTGCGGAACAACACAGAAGAGACGTTTCACAACAAACTAATCAACAAGAGCTGAAACTGTTTCTGTTTTGTCGCAGCAGAATTTGTTCAAACTCACATGATGTTGCGGTTTCGCAGATGAAGGTGATCAGGTTTTCTTTGATGGTGTCGAAAGCATCAAAGTCGTCCACGACGAAGACGTGCCTCTCGCTGGGTTTGCTGCCGATCGACTGCAGCTCCACGAAATCCACGTCGGCAACACCGATGGAAAAAACGCTGTAACCTGAGGACAGGACATGCACATACAGATCAGATCAGGATCAGGATCAGGATCAGGATCAGGATCAGCTAAAAACATTTCTCTTCAGTCTCTTTTCCAGAACTGGTCTATATCTGCACAGAAATTCACATTGCTCTCTTCTCTAACACTGTTCATTCAACTTCAGTTGTCATGGGAACCACTCATGGATGAAAACACACGCTACAGCTCAACCAGTCCTAAAGAAGCTGGTGAAACTGAGTCGCCCATGAAACGCGGATCGTCCCGTTACCTGCGTGCTGAAGCTTGGCGGCGTTCTTCTTCACCTCGTCCTGAGAGCGTCCGTCTGTGATCGCCACGACAACCTTGGGGACGTTTCTTCTCATTCCATTTTCCATTGAAAAGGCCTTGTCGTAGGTGTGTTTCAGAGCCACTCCTGCTCAGCAGAGAAGGAGAGGAAACTGTTGGACCTGGAACTTTGGAATATTTCGCAATCCTAAGAGAAGCTGGTTTTGTTGCAGACATTTCACACACGAGCACAAATAACTGACAAGATACTGGAACAACGGGGCGATGTGTCCTTGTGGGATCATGTGACGTGTGATCGAACCTGTCTTGGTGTTTCCTCCTCTGTAGCGAATGTGATGAAGTGCAGACATGGCGACACCTTTGTCTTGGTACGCGTTCAGCCTGAACTCTGTCTTTGCGTCATCGCTGTACTGCACGAACGACACCTGTTAGCAAGAAGTGGAGTTTAGTTTTAGAGCACGAGATCACAGTTTTTCCCCAGAACACAACAACTTCTAAAATCCTGGATTTGAAAAGACAAAAGACATTAATACACATAAATAAACCTGACAATAAATTAGTTTCACGGCACACATTTGGTTTTTGAATCTCTGGAAATGGCCTTTTTATTCTGCAGACAACAGAATATTTTCTTATCCAGATGGAGAGAAGAGTCTTTGTGGATTCTGGAAAAACTGCTCAAAACTTCTGGAAGTGATGTTACACAACCTTCAGGCTAAAAGATCATCAGGGATTTACTTTCCAGAAAAACAGATGCTTAACTCTGCGACTTGAATATCATTACAACATGCGACTAGATTAAAATATAAAATTATACATTATAAGACTTAATATATATGAATATATAATGCAGCATGTGTATGGAGTGTGTGAATACTGAAGAAAGTTTCTCCACTGATCCACTGATTGTGGTTTAACTTTGTATTACAGTTTATTACAGTTTAATCGATCCATATGTGATATATTGTCAAATCGTTTTGGATGCTACTAATCAATCCAACCTTAACAGGATACGTTTTTATACACGTTAAGTTTAGGTTCTTGCTCCAGAGGGTCCCGGATGACTGCAATTGTTTTTTCTAATCAATAATCAAACCCATAAACTGACACAAATTAGACCATTGACCCCATCTGATAAGATTTTGAGCACCACTGCCTAACCACTGTGTTATACCGTTAAACTAACAGTTTGAACTCAAACATGAAGTCCTCTACTTTAAGACTTCAACTGAAAAAAAACATCTCACTGACATTCCTCTTTCTTTCTTCTGTTTTTATTCTAAGCTCCATTATTCTTCTTCTTTTACCTGTTGTTCTTGTTTTGTCTTGTCTGATGTTATTGATCACATTTGTCTGAATCTTAATATTTTATACTAAGGACTTTAACAGAGCTTCCGTCCTCCCCTGCACATATCCATATCTCCGTGTCATGTTCGATCCAAACCTGCATCCCGGAGGGTCCGATGACATCAAAGGCGCCGATCATGCCGAAGACGAAGTTAACGACTTTGTTGAAGCTCTCCTCGCCGATGCTCCAGGAGCCGTCGATGAGGAACACCACATCTGCTTTGGCACCTTTGCAAACTGAGGCAAGAAAACAAGTCAATAAGGAGCTTTTAAGTCCACCGGCCAGACCTCGGGGGAGCGTCGCAAACACCAGCAGAGAAAATGGCATCATCACACGGGATAATGATTGTTTGCGAGGCGCAGCGCATTAAAAAAAGAAAAGAAAAGAAAGAAAGTCAAACAAAACAAAACGATTGAGAAAAATGACGTGATGGGGCCATGTACTGTATAGTAATTATGGGTTTCACCGATAAAAAAAAAAAGAAAAGAAAAAAGAAAACTGGCAAAACAAAAGGAGGAACATTTGGTTACCAGAAGGGTTGCGAGTCAGCTCTTGTTAATGGGTTCCTCTCAGACGAAGACGAACTGGGTAAAATAATCTTTGCCTTATGTGACGCGGCACACTTTGAAATCTTCCTTCTGCCTTTCTTCCTTTTTTTTTTATAAACAACTTTTACACGGTGCCCATCAACACAAACAGACCCTTTGGACCAGGCCTCTCTTCATTTTTCAACACCTAAGTTCGGCGCGGGCGCGTTTCCCTGTCACGCGCCCCACGGGGCCCCGGCGCGCACATGTGGCGGATATTAATTCATCGCTGGCACGAGCCGGATCCAGAAAGGGAGTCTGCGTTCAAACCGTCACCTGGGCCAAAAGCGCCGCACCGAGGAGCTTCCAAACCCCCGCGCGCTGAGCCTGAATGAAAAGACTCGACCCATTCAGTCCTGGGATGATCCGTGTTTTCCACGAAGACAGTGTTCAGGGGGGAAACATTGGCTCTGTGGAACCTGCCCGCGCGGCATTATGAAGTTTAAACATGCGAAGTTCACGTGCATGCCTCCATTAACTTTCATTAACTTCCATTCAAGTTAAACAAGCGAATTTGCATCTGCACTGAATTGCCCCTGTGAAATATGGACAGATGGGAGAATTCATCTAAGTTCAACTGAAATCACATTTCTTCCCTCCCTTTATGAGGTTAGAGATCCTTGTTCTGTTTGTGTTCATGTTTTTCATTACAGAGAAGAAGAAAAAAACGTCTTCCCACCCCCTCCACCTCCAAGTGTGTGTGTGTGTGTGTGTGTGGGGGGGGGGGGGGGGGGTCAATAAACGCATTTAATTAAAAGCTGAGGCACGAGGTAAACACGCCTATGTTAAGTGTAGCTTACAAACGGAGAGCAGACGGTGTTTTGTTATCAGAGGTGTTGAAGAAGAAGGATCTTTACATTCTGCCTCTAAACTGACTGACTCTAACATTTACAGGTGAGTTTTTCACCTTGACCTGGAAACCGATCGGCAGCTACGGGCGGACGGATGGAGGGGCATCAGACAGAAGGTTAACACAGGTCATCGCTCAAAGTCTGAGGCTGATTTGTTTCCGAGTTGTCATGTGACAGAACAACCACAGTGAATGATTTGATTGGCTGTCTGTATGTGTGTATGTGTTCGGTAAACGGTCACGTGATTGCAGTACCCGGAGTGGCCGCTATCACCCGACTACCTGCACTTTGATTTCACTGTAACCGGATGGTGTCACTACATGCTTACCTGCCCACGCGGGGGGGATGGTGGGTGGAGGTGTCGGGGTTGGCGGGAGCGTTGGAACCGGAGTCGGCTTCACCACTGCGAGAAACACGAGACAGACACAAACCGTCATTAACATATTTGTAATAAATTCAGAACAACAGTAAACATGTTGTAGGATGAAGTCATTGTTTTGGAGCCGGTCCTGAGAGATGATGCGAGCTGCGGTCCACATCTTGTCTGGGTGTGTTGGGAGAGATGCAGCTTGTTACTGCAATCATGTCCTCTTTTGTAAATCTGAGCTGACAGGAAGCGGAGGAGTGTGAACGTCTCTCTCCACTGCTGGTTTATGTTCAACAACACAAGTTTTCAGAAAGAAAACATCTTGCAGTGTATTTCAGTGTTGCACAAAGACATCATTTATTGAATGTCAGATCTGTTGATTGCATTAATGATCCAATTAGTCAAAACAAAAGTGTGTGATGTAATGTAATAATGAAATGAAAACAAAAAGGGACAAGGATTGAAATAAGTCCAGGACTTTGTTCTATCTTTTTATTCTTCTGGTTTCGTTTTCATTTATTTCACAATTATATTCAAGTAGCACATATGAAGCTTTGTCTTACATCAATAGACAGTATCCCTCACAGAATGTGGGCTTAATTAAGTTTTAAATGTAGTTGTGATTGGGATTATTGTTTTTGTTGATTCCATGTCATGTTTCCTCAGAGGAAAGCGACGCTACCTGAAGCTCCGCTCTGCAGATCTAATGTCAGAAAAGTTACAGACTGGACACTCACATGTTCTCTCCTTGGCGCTGACCCCTGGTCCCTCCAGGTTTGGGGTCTGAACGAAGACGGTGGCGGTGTACAGAGCGTCGGGAGAAAGTCCGTCAAAGCAGTACTGAGGCAGGCCGGCGGGGATGGTGATCTCATGTTGTCCTTTACTGGAGGCTACAGGAGCAGAAATATAGATCTTTATCAGAATAAAAACTCCTCTGCCAGAATAAACTTCTACTTGAAATCAGCAGTTAAACCGGGAAGAACTCCTGACGGGACAACTGAACGTCTCGTATCGTCTTCGTGCTGCTGGATTTTCTGTTTTGTTGCTAATGGAGGAAAATAAACACTTGGTTACGTCGCTTAAAAATCCAACAACTTCGACATCTCCGTGACGAGCGAACCCAACAAGTGACCCCTCCGGTGAAATGTTTACATCTCTGCGTGGCTGAGCGGTGATATATTCATAATACGATTTCCTATTTACACTGTGCGCTCTAGTGAGCACAAACAAAGCATGTTTATTGCAGAGACAGCTGCCTTGGGTGATGATGATGGTGATGATGCTACTTTTCAGTGTGAAAGACTTTAAATAAGGATTCCATCATATCTTCTGTCAGATGACAGAATCCAGCAGCTCCGGTGATGCATTACTTTCAGACCGAGCTAATATCAACAAATTATGACAGAAGTCACTTAATATGAATAGTTCGGGGAAAACTCACGTCTCCTGGTCTGATCTATTCCAGAACAGTGGCCCTCATTTATCAAGAGAGAAGATACACACAGATTTGTACAGGATTGATGTTGACAAAATATAATCCCTGAAATACCTCAGCTGGATTTGAGAGGACTCTGTCTTTAAAGAAAAAAAAAAAAAAAAACTGGCAGCCCAAGTTCTTGTCTAACCAGTGTTTCCATGGCTTTTAAAAATATGGAGGAAATATCAGCGGTGGAGACCTGAGCTCGCGGTTTTTCCACTCATTCATCTCACCACCGTCTCCCACTGCTGTTTGCGTTTCCACTTGAGAACAAACAGTTGACTGATTTGTTGACTTGAGAGCATCGTCTGCTGCCGCTCACTGGGACGGGTTTTCTCAAGCGGAGGATTTCTGATCCTCTGCTAGTGGTTAACCCGCCATCTGTCTCACGCTAGCAGACCCATATTTGTTCTGGCAACCCGTCGGTGCGGCCAGAGAAGGCTAATGACTACCATATAGATATTTAAATATTGATGCTCCCTTCCCGGGTTTTCCTGCTCTTAAACTGCGAACCCCGTGTCCATGTGTGAATACGAACCAGATGGGAATCAAAGACCCCGCAGTAATTGAAAAGGATGTAATCTTTGCAGACAGAGACACAATTAAAACTCGGTGGTCGGGTGCTTTCAATCCTGGCCAAAACTTGCATCCTGCTTCGAGTAATAATCACAAGACGGAGGCTTGGAGATAAACACTCTCTGAGAGGAAAATAAAATAAAAAAAAAGTCTAGACACAGTGTGCTAAACGCTGTGAAGGGTCCGCCTGAAATCAAGCAGAAGATCTGTAGCATCCACGGCCACAGAAATGACCTCATCTGGAGGTACGCCTTCAGACATCTGCCGGGAGTCTCGTCGCACGTTACCGTCACCTTCCATCAGGATCTGACTGTGGAAGTGGACCACACCGCCGTCCTCAGGTGCTCTCATCAATCTGACGCATCAGAGCCCGTTTGAACGGTTCGACCGCCTCGCAAAACCATGCTGTTGTGATTTACAACTGAAGATGTGTTTTCTTTGCCGTTTCATCATCTACTGGCCTTCGTTTCTTTCCACTTGGTCGATCTGCCACTATCAACAACCCATCTGGTGATTGGTTATTTGGATAAATAGATTCACTGACAGAAAATAGTAAAAAAAAATAAATAAAAAAAAAGGTTTCCAAAACTCAAAGATATTCAGCAAAGTAATGTAAAATATAAATACTGTTGTAGTAATGAAGACTTGTGAGCGTGAAGGCGCCGTGAGACTTACGGTCCTGAGGGTTGAGTTTGATGCGGTATGACGTCGCCGCCCTGTGAGGAGTCCATTTGATGCAGAACTTGTCGTGACCAACGTTGTAGGTCTCGATGTTGGTCACGTTCAGGTAGACTGCAGAGGACAGGAATTCACGTTTCAACACATCCAACATATCAAAGAGGAGACGTTTCAGTGCACATGCAACCTGCTGTGTAAACCTCCACCGAGGCCACGGTCAAATAACATGCACCAGAATTCAGAGGAAAAAATTCTAATCCAGAGTAAATGATCTGGATCTGCTCCAAAAATGTAATCTTCAAATCAAGTCTGAGTCGCACGTCTTCATAAGTTTAAATCAAGACTTTTACATCTCTGAATGCAGACCACAGACCATCTGCTGATAGTGTCTTTAAAAGATATTTACATTATATTATCATTATTTTAAACATTTTACAAAGTTAAAACTGGAACTTGAAGGTTTTTGCTTTCAAATCTATTTGACTTCAGGTCTGAAGTCAAGTGAAAGTTTTCATTATTGTGGCTTAAATCCAGTTAAGTCCAGTTTTCAAATCTCAACTTAAACAGATGAAAATCCTTTTAACCAACAACAGACACATCAGCGGTGCAGATCTCAAAATCTGAGCAAAAACAAATCAAAGCAAAAGTATCTGCGAGGCTCAAGGCTCAAGGCTCGAGGCCACGAGGCGTAAAAGAAACAAACGTGTTGTGAGTCGGAGTAACTGACAGGACTCCAGCGTTTGTCTTTTCAAACGGACGCCGTACGTACGTGTTGTTCCCTGTCCGTCGAGCGGCGTGCTCATGCCGCCGGTGTACTGAGCAATCACTTTGACATCGTAGGTGGTTCCAGGCTGCAGGTTGTGCAGAGTGTAGGAGGTCACGTCGCCCACGAAGATATCGATGGGCTGGTCTGTGCCTGCGAAACACAACGGCACTCAGATCAGACAACACAGTGCGCTGGAGCGGATCACCTAAACTGTTCTCGTCCTTGTTGTAATCAAAGAAAGAAAACATCCTACCGGCGGCAGACAAACATCAAAGAGCGTCTGCACAGCAATCACAACTATCTGCTGAGCTTTTTGCAGATGGCGACTTGCAGCAGAAGCCAAGTTTAACATCGACTCACTGGAGCTCAAATCCTTCAACACGTGTGACAAACTGAAGCAGCTTTGACCAGGTGTCACAAAGACTTCAGCTCCTGATTTTACTGAACAGTCAAAGTGAAGGCGATATTTTAAAGCCTGACACTTCAACAGCTTTTAAATTATGTTTTTATTTTTATGTTACTCTAATAATGTAAAAAATGCTCATCTATTAAATATTGATCAAATTGTTTAACTAACCTCCCAATGGGGTCACAAGAAAAACCTGAGCAGTCACACGATGATTAGCAGGATAGAAACAAATAGAAAAGTTACTGGTACAAAAAAATCCTTTTCTCCCTTTTCTCTAATCCTTCTTTTCTTTAACCTGAAAACTGCAGTTTGTTTTTAATCAGTTTGACCTTTACTGGTTTCAAAAACTTAATCAAATGAGACAGTGTGAGAAGGTACAAACTGACAAACCAACCTGTCCGCTCACCTTCAGGAGAGTAGATCAGTCTGTAACCCTGGACAGGAGCCCCCACCGGGTCCCAGGCCACCCTGAACCGGGTGTACCACTCGTCCGAGACGCGAAGGTTTCTGGGACTCAGCAGGCCGACTGCGACAGAGAGAGAGAGAGAGAGAGAGAGAGAGAGAGAGAGACACATCATCGACCGAACGTGTCTCAGCAAACAACAGCTGCATTTTCATTTCCACAGTTCGTCTGTTCCCCGTTGAAGCATCAAGTGTTTTCCAAGGATTCTCACGACATTCATCTGAACAAAGATTCAGTCTGTGGCAGCTTAGTTCTGATTTTAAAAGAAGCTTCAGTTTAAAGTTGTGCTATCAATCTTTTTTTTTTTAAAAATCAAGTGATCAAGTTTTTGACGGAGCAAATAGGAGAAAGAAACGAAAAACCTGTCACGCTCATCGCTTTGTTAAAACGAGCCAATCATCTGTCAGACTATCACACGGAGCCAAACCACCTCCAGGAAGAAGACGTGGCGAGTCTCGTCCTTACACCTGTTCACTGGATTCATTACATGTAACACACACGTTTAGATTCTGGTCTTTTCTCAGCCTTGTTGAGCGAGCTTAGTGTGTGTGTGCGTGTGTGACACACACACGCACACACACACTTTCCCTGAGTGTGTATTGTTTGTGTAACTAACGCTGCTGCTCACCAGTCGAGTGCAGTCTGTGAGATCCCGGCGCTCCGACCTCGTCACTCTAACACGTGTTGGCACCGTTGACTAATGTATGTCTCCTGTATTTATTTTCTCTCTCTCTCTCTCTGTCCTGCAGAGCTGCAGGTTTGACTCAACTGCTGCATCAAGCTGAGTGAGAGTTCACTGAGAGGTCTCACTCCTTACTCCTTTCAACCAAGCGCACTCAACCAGAACTTCCCACATTTAGAAACGTTTCTTTTTCTTCAATCTTAAAGGAAAACTCACAACAGAGCTGGATACACTACTGCTGCTGCCCGAACACACGGAGCCTGTGAAACTGTTGAGACGCTTCCAGAGATCTGGCTGTGATTCGAACACATCATCATCCCGTGGAGGTGCGCTCCGAACACGCTAACGAACACGTCTCATTAACAGACCATCATCCGTTGTAGCTGGAAATCTGAGTCTGATCTGTGCGAACCCAGCGCCGCCTCACCTGTGCGTCCGTTTCCATTGAGTAACCCTCCAGGCCCCTCGGCGTAGATGGCCTCCACGGTGATGTTGTATGGGGTGTCGGGGACCAGGTTCTGCAGCATGGCGTTGTTTCTGTTTCCAGGAACCACGGTCTGAGCAAGACAACACCAGAGTCAGAGGGACACCTTACACAAACATGAACCTGCTTATATTCACAGGTTACCCAGAGCAACAGGGAGCTGGTTTCTAGGGGGGGGGATTATAGGAGCTGTGCACCAACAAAAACCTTCTCCATCAGCCGCAGATGCTCGATTATAATAACTGTGTGTTTATGAATGGTCACAGGTTCTCCAGTTCTCCCGGTCTGGAGAAATCCTTTCATCGCCGCCCCCTCCGCTGCGGACAGCTGACTCACACACAACAGGTGCTTCGCTAACAAGCGCAGAGTGAGAGCACAGCTGGGCCGCCTCTGCCCTCCACCGCAGGTCCGACTCATTATTTAGGACTATTAATTACGTTATTATGGCCCAAATTATACTGTTTGTTTAACTGACCCTGTAATTAGTCTCACTAATCGGTGATTTATAACCGGAACGCGCCAAGGCAATCCTGAGATGTGACTTCACCACATAGTTTGAGGGAGACATCACGGCGAGGGGATAATGGTGAGAGTGTATCAAGAGTTTATCTAAAACATTTAAACACTGTTATTACCTGAAAACAACCGCTCATTACTGCTGAAAGGTGAAAGGTCGGGTGTGTGAAATGAGCCTCAGTTCCTTGAATCTTTATTATGTTTTTAAAATTTCATTTCGTGTGACTTCTGATTGTGTTAAAGGGAAGAGGTCACATGCTCTGTCCAGTCAGGAGTGGACTAACATCTGGTCTAGACGGTTTTTAGGAAAGCAGAGGAGAATCTCTTCCCCCAGAGTCACACGGCACAAACACGATGATAAATACCTCAAAAAGGAGAAATCGTTTCAACTAGAACTCGCTCACCGGACGACTCGCACAGTGGCGCAGCACACTTACAAACTCAGTGATGGGGTCTCCGGTCATGGGGGCGTAGCCGATCCTGTACTGCCTCACAGGTCCCTCTGCGTGGTCCCAGTTCATGGTGAGGGTGCTGGTGGTGGCATCGAACACTCGCATGTTCCGGGGACCGGCACGGGGCACTGCGACGGGAATAAACCCATCAGATTAACAGGTGAATCATCGCGTACCACTCACGCTGAGAGCTCATCGTGTGTTTAGAGAAAGTGTTTGTAACCAGACGGTAACAAGTCGCTTGTTGAGACAGCTGAGTCTTGTATACAGCGAGCTCTCAGACGTCCATGATTATAACTCAACGTAAACTGGAGTCCGGCTGAGTCAGCCTCGGGACTGTGTACGCTGTCGGCGGGTGAGATTGTTGTTGAACTTACGTGTTTTGTCGCTGCCCGTCACCGGCCGTCCCTCTCCGTCGGCGTACAGGGCTGCGACACTGATGGTGTAGGGCGTATCCGGGATCAGGTTGTCCAGGAAGGCGTTGTTGATGTTTCCTGACACCAGGACCTTTTGGGAGAAGAAGAAACCCCAAGGGTCAAAAACTACAGAGACGTCATCGTCATGCAGCCACAGTGTGGAGGCTCTGCCTATTCAAATGCGCCTCTTCCTGCATTACATGAAGATCTGGCAGCGATAATGTACATAATGACCTCACCGCGCATCCCATATCCAGTTATCTGCTGCAGCCAAAGTTTCCCTCAAACACTAACAAAGGCATGGGAGGTAGGATGCCAAACAAATCACTCACCCAGTAAGTGGACTGATGGATAAACAGTTTCTGCTAAGAAGCGGCTGGTGAGTGTGGGGTCTGTCATCGGCTCGGACGGTGTTGTCTAACAACATGACTGCAGAGCGTCTCTTGTCACTGGGATTACCTCCGCCTCTATCCTCTGCTCTTCAGCCGGTGTGTGCGCACCAGGAAAACGTTACATCATGGGAAATATATGTGTGCCGGTCGAACTCGAACCTACCCTCATCTACAGCTCATGTTTTGGTTAAAGCAAATATATCAAAGAGTTCTGGACCCAGAGCTTCTGGCCCACCGGACCATGAAACAGGTTCCTCAGTGATGATGTAGAGGTTGAGATCCTGCAACTGGAAGCACACATATACGCCTACTGGCCCGGGTGAAATCCCTCCAGTAAACTGTGGTCTGGCCACAGGACTGGCCATTGTCCTTTGAAAACAGGATGAATTACGTTTGACTGGAGGTTTAGTAATACAGTCATTTCCTGAAGGCAGCGCTGCTCTCAGGGGTCGAATTATAACTCAGTGGTCGAGTTAAATCTCGGTGAGCGGAGCCAAATAATCCCAGTTCTTCTGGGTAATTAATGAGCTTTTGACTGCAGTTATTATTCAGAACATTGAAGGAGTTTAAAAGCTTCTTGTTCACATGCTGTTTGAAAGCAGAGAGAGAGCCTGACGATGACCTCCTCCACCTGTACCTGTACCTGGACCTGGACCTGGACCTGTACCTGGACCTGGACCTGGACCTGGACCTGGACCTGGACCCAGCTGAGGTTGGATGACTACAGCTTTACTTATGGCCAAAAGTAAGTGGATCCCTGTTTCTCAGATTTGTTTATATTGATTATTTTTTTAGGTTTCTACTCTAAACAGCTGTTTTCAGCTCCATCCAGTGACGTGTGACTCAACCAGTGGATCCGCTGCCTCTTAGAAAGTCTGTGGTTAAAATGCTCCAGAGCCTCAATTCATGCATCTTCGATATAAAATGTGGCCAGTGTGAGTTTAATTAAACGGCATTAGTCATCAACACTTCTGATCTTCTCTGTGTCTCGGCTAAACCAACTTCCAAAACCGAACCAAAGGTAATTTAAAAAAAAATTAAAAAGCAAAACGGCAAATAAATAGATAAAAGTACGACTACAGGGGATGACAAACTATAACACCGTTATCTTTATAGCATCATCACAGCAGCTTCATTAGATCACAGCTTTATGCTCCCAAGAACCTCGACCATAGGAGCTTTCACTGATGTCAGTCACAGATGTGTCCGGCGTCACAGAGTTCAAACTTCTTGTGGGGAAATAAAAGCCCCCCCCCCCCCCGCCATCCAGACGTTTGCACCAGCGCATGAAATCAGTGCTGATGGAGAGATACAAAACGCTGACAAGTCATGATTTCCATATTTAAGAGCATTACCCTAATTACTGCTGCACAGAACATCTGTGCAACATCAACATGAACACTTAGAGAAACAAACGCGGCCAACGAAAAGGGGACCACCTGTTGTTTCCATGAAATAGACGGACCCAGCCAACGCGATGACACGCCATGATTTCACCAGTTCAGTCAGATGTGGAGAAGAGATGGATAAACAAATAAAAGAAAGGATAAACTGTAGTAACAGCTACTGGTACTACTAGTTTATTATCAGAGTATAGTCCACATTCAATGTACAGCTGTACCTACAGGTCTCAGGTGAAGTCCCAAGTCCTAAACTTTCTGTCTCACGTCCTGTTTCCTTGTCTGCTGCTCTACAGAGACAAACACGCCTTTACCTCCTGCTCACACCACGTGATTGGCTGCTGCTGCATTGATTCAAAGTAGTTGTTGCCTGGGAAGTTTGCAGTGTGCACCCTTTTACTATGTGGGGAAGATATCAAGTCAAAAGGCCGACGTCCAAGCGAAGAGTCACTGGTGTTGAAGTTTATGTCTCTATAAATTGAATATCTGTTGGAGTCTCGGTTGGACAAAACCAAACATCTGAGCATGTCATCCGAGGCTCTGGGAAATTATGATATTTTCTGACATTTTATAGACAAAATGAACTGTTGATTAACAGTAAAAATAATCGACAGATCGGTCAATAATGAAAATAATCAATAGCTGCAACGCTATCTGTCATGATATCTCCTTTATCTTAAAACAAGCAACACAAAAACTGCTAGAGGGATGAGATAATCCCGACTTTGTCCAATGTAATTTCACTTATCTCAAGAATCTTCTGGAAACATCCGACAAGAGTTGACGTGCAGCCTTTTGCAGCGAGTTGATTCACAATGAGAAAAAAATTACTATGTGATCTGTGAAATAACATGCCAGAGTTTGTTATTGTTTGTCTGAAATTCCTTTTGCGCCGATTCCTTTTCCCTTGAGAGCAGAAAGTGATCTCAGGGGAAAGCACCTCCTCTTGGCCTGGAGGCAGATTCTGATGTTAATGACAGTTTGGTGTTTTAACAGTCTGGGGGAGAGTTACTCACCGACTCCGCGGGTCTGGTTCCGGTCAGGGGGGAATAAGTCACCCGGTACTGCTGAACCTGGCCTGTGGCGGGCTCCCAGCGCACATTCAGGCTGTTGGGGGTGGGGTTGTACACCTGGATGTTCCTGGGTGGCGTGCGTGGGACTGCAAAGGTCACAGAGGTTAAGAGAAAGTGAAGTAAGAAAAGAGGGAGTGTTGACTTTCTTCACTTAGCAACAAAACACGAAGAGCTCGTCCGAGTATGTCCCACTTCAGCACCTGAATGAATGCTCCTTAAAACGTCAGCGTCAGGGAGTGAAGCGCTGAGTAGAACGGGAGCAAATGTCAAGCTTTAGGGTCAGACTGTCGCTTTAGGTTTTGCATTTTTAAAAAGAACCGATTTTTAAAACCAAATTCTTCACATCGTTGAGGAACCCAGGGAACTTCTAAACGATCTGTTTTGTTCTGATTTAGTTTAAGTCTAAAATTAAAACAAGCTGATTTATGAGGGAATAACTGTTTCAATACGACAAAATCTCTGGCTTTGATCAAAAGGAGAAAAAAAAACTTTTAATAAACAAGTAAATTGTCTTTTCAATGGGACAAAATGCATCAAAGTCAAGGTTGAACTCAAACGCTGAGTGCAGCAGAAGACTCCTGCGGGGAAGTCGTTTTTATAGCGTCTATGTGGAGAACGTGTAGAGAGAAGTAGCACAGTTTTGGGTTAATGCAAAAGCCCTTAACTTCCCTTCTAAACCAAACCAGATGTGCATGTCCCCCTGGTATCTGGAGCTTTACCTAATAAAAAAAAAAACCACGAGATGCAGTAGGTAGATATGAATGCGACCCCATCCACAGTGAGCAAAGCCTTATCCCTCATGTTGTATAACCACATTAAAAAAAAAATCATCATTCATTACCTTTAAAATAAGGAGGACACAGTCTGTCAGGATGTTTTACTTTTGTCATCCAGGAACAGAATGACCTCCTATCCTTCAGAGGGATTATGTAATCCTGCTCTAATTTTGTGTTATTAATCGTTTTATAGCAGCAGACGCAATTATTCCTCATGTTGGACTGACACACTGTTTTTGTCCAGACAAAATGTGACAAATTCCTCCTGGGATGAAAACAGTGAAAAACTGGACCGAGTTGCTGGTAATAAAAGACCATCAACGTCATACACGGTCTCATATTCATTGATAGACTGAGACACACGCGGAGGACCGGCATGTGTCTGCTGCGATGGAGAGGCGGCTGCACCTGCACCTGCCAACACACACTTCCTGGTTCGCTTTCTCACGGCAAAGCCCCCCCCTCTGTCCCTCATGCGTCTCTGTACTGTCCGTCTGCGTAAAAATGTAAATAATTAAAGCATTAGCACCTTTACAATCTGATGTCTGATCTGCTCTTCGGATCATGGAGACAAGGGGCTACGTTAGTAGGTCGGTGATGATGTCTCAGGAAACAAAACTTATCCCCACTTGTCCCCTTAACTCCCAACCAGTATCTCCACAGCTGTGACCCCTGACCGCAGGGGACGACCGCACTGGAAACACGAGACCGTTTAAAGTAATAAATTCATGGGTTTGGAGCTTTATCAGACACTAACATCGCTGCACAGAAATACGTAAAACCATGAGGAAGAATTACACAACAGCAGGTTGATGCTGTTATCTGATTGGCTGGTAGAACTGCAGGATGAGGTCACATTGTCTGTGTTTTTTTTTTTTTTGTTTTGCATTCCCGCTGTGCCAACGTAGTGGTCTCGTTTAAATGAATTAGAGATAATGTCAGCCTAAACATGCGCAGCCCGACATGAGCCGTTCTGTTGAGTGAAGCTTCCAGCTCGGTTCATGTTTGGTTGCTTTTTCAAATGGAGTTTATCTGAGAATTTTCTCTCTCTTTGACTCCAGCCAGTCATCTACGTCCACGTGTGTCATGTGTTTTCAGTAAACGCGCGATGCCAAGTGGCGAGAGGGAGGGAGAAAGAGAGAGAGAGAGGGAGGCGAATGTGTTGCACTAGCCTGGCAAGCTAAAGGTTGCTAATGGATGCAATAAAGCGAAAATAAAGCTTTGGGTTTGGGTCTTAAAAATGGAAGTGCCAGGTCAGTTCAGGTGGGTCTCGAAGACGTTGATGGTATTGGCTGGAGTTCGTGACTTCGTGTTGGTAACACAATGCATCAATTACACAGCTGTAAAAAAACAAACAAAAAAACTATGCTGATAATTTCATCACCCCAGCACACACTCAGGAATGATGACTGAATATCACATCTGGATGACAACACATGAAACTATCCTGAGAAGAAATAAAACGTTCAGTCTCAGTTCGCCCACTGGGGATGTCTATGGAATGGTTTCGGTTTTTTTTTTTTTTGGTGCCTGACTCACAGCTTTCCAATTAAAAAACACCAGGATGCATTTCTGCTGACGGAGCGTGGCATGCAGTCTGGGCAGAAACAAAACCAACACACACAACGGGATGTCAAACCACACAGAAGCAGAGCAACCGGCGCGGGATCCAGTTTCTGAGAATGTCTCTTCATCCGAACCCTTCAGTTACCAACGGTAGTTTTAAAGTTGCACAGTATCTGTCTTTGATTTTATGCTATCAATCAACTTTCCAAAGAGCTCTGCAGCTTCACTTTGGTTCCATCAACTCTTTCCTGAGGAGGGTTTAAAAAGCTTTTTGTGATTTAAGGCTTTTGGCTAAACCTGCAGATTATAGTGTTTCCACTGATGTCTGGGGCTTCACCTGAGAGACACAACGTCTATAAAAGACGTTTTCTGATGTCGAAGTCTGCAAAGAGCCCGAAAACAGGCTGCAAATGATGAGTGACTTCAGGCCGGGGGGAACCAGGTTCACTTCAGGACAGTGCACGCTCTGAACATTTGTCTTGGTTGCATCAGCGCAGAGACGCACAAACACGTTGGTATTAACCTTTGTTTATCTCAGCGAAGGCCTGACTGCTCTGTCTCTCCTCAGGCAGTTGCTCAGTAAAACCGTGACCTTTGACCTTCGCTCACTGCTGTAGGAGACGGTTAGAAGCTCAACAGAGCTCATGTGTCGTGAACCTTGTGTCACATGTTTTTTACTCCGGATTGTCTCCTGCCTTATTGTAAGTTTCTTTGAGTCTGTTTATCTTGTGGAGTAAATTAAAAGTGTTTAAGAAGTTTCTATTAAACCTTCAGGAGTTTCAGTTTTAACGTTTAACGGTTTTAAATTCTATTTTTATGTATAAGCTAGACAAGAGAGAAGGCTGCCAGGATGAGGAACATCTTCTCCTTGGACTAATGATCAGTGAGAAGTCTGTTTCTCTTCTCTCCACTTCTGAAGTGTGCCTAAAGTCAGTCTGCTCGAGTGAGTCAGCCTTAAATGTGCCCAGACTTTTACCCACACGAGTTCTCCGTCTGCTTGTGCAACATGTTCTGCAGACGCAAAGGAAATAAACTCCTAATGAGTGAAAGCCTCTCCTGACGTCTTTACATCTGACGCTGTTTAATTCAAAAAAAAAAAAAAAGGGGGCCACAGAGCACAAAGCTTCTGTCCGAGCTGCACGAACACAGGTTTCATAAAGCAGCGTGACATGTCACCGACGTCTGATCAGACAGTTTGAAGAGAGTCGAGAACTCACGTGTCTTTCCGTCGTCGGACTGGCGCAGACCTTCTCCCTCCGGGTAAACCGGAACCACGGTCACGGTGTAGGGAGTGTCCGACAGCAGGTTCCTCAGTACGGTGTTGGTGGTGCCGCCTGACACCTGCTCCTGCTCACACACAGAAACACAGCTGTTCATTAAACCCACACACACACACACACACACACACCTAAACGGAGTGATGGCGAGAGAAACCTCACCATGTCCTCAGCGCCGCCGGACGCGGGGACGTAGAAGATGCGGTACTGACGGACGTTGCCCTCCGCCGGGTCCCAGCGCACCTTGAGGGAGCTGGTGGTGGGATCGGTGACCTGCAGATTCTTCACTCCGCCTAGAGCCTCTGTGAACACAACACAGCGCCCGTCACATGACTGTCAGCTTCCCTGTTTGAGTTACAGCCGGAGTCGGGTCAGACCAGCAGCTCCTGAACGCTTTGTTTTGACCTTGTCAGAGCAGCAGGTGAGCAGGTGAGGTTTCCCGCTTCAGGGAGGTTCAGCGAGTCAGTCAGGTGTCAATCGCAGGAGAATTACATGCGCTGACTTTTCTTAGTTCATCTAAACATGTAGCTGATGCCAGGACGCCATGTCATCCAGTTGGTGCTTCTGGATTCCTCACGGCAAAGACGATGTAAAAAATACCAACATTCACAATATATATATATATATTATATTCATTCTCCTAAAAAAACAAGTACAAATGTGACACAGCCAGGTGGTCACAGCTGCTGGGCCAACTCACTCGTCTTTCCGTTCTCCGACACGCGTTTCCCCTCCACGTCGGAGTAGATAGGCACCAGCGTCACTTTGTACTCTGTGTCCGGCTGCAGGTCTCTCAGAACCGTGTTCGTCGACATCCCGGACACCTGAGTCTGTGACGGACAAAGACGCTCATTTGTAAATCTCCAACAAACCAACAAAAAAAAAAAGTCTGCACATTCATATTGTTGCATTTAATGTAGAACAACATATAAAACACTAAAACCAACACTTCATGAACTGTGCGTGTCTCTACAGCCTGATACGGCTGATTCCTCTGAGACGTAGAGCTCCACCGTTTCCAACAACTATTACAACACATCAGGGATCCAGCTCGTAGCTCTGAACGGGAATGGAAACTCATACGTTTCTTGTTCGATAGAAGAAGAAGTTCCATTAATATTCAAATATAACAGTCACCATGCTCTCGGTTCCTCCGGTGGCGGGGACGTAGACGATGTGGTACTGCCGGACGTCGCCGTCGGCCGGCTCCCAGCGGACCCTCAGGGAGTTGGTGGTGGGGTCGGTCACCTGAAGATTCTTCACTCCGCCCAGAGGCTCTGAAAAGAGACGGGACACATCACAGTCTGGAACAACTCGCTGTTTACTTTCTCCAGCAGGGGTGCGCCGGATGGGTGGAGTGCACCCTCATCAGGACAATCCAGATGTCTCACAGTCGAGGGGGTTGTCAATCAGCGTCTCTTTTTTCCTTTCCTGCGACTAAACTCTCCGGTGTTCTATGAGCCAAAAACATCCTTATTAAGAAGTGTTTTTAGACTTAAAAGAATTCCTCCAAGAAAAAAAAAAAAGAGAAAGGTCTGAATAACTGCTGCAAATAATCTTTAGCATTTGTTTTCTCCTGCAGGGTGCACCAGATGGGTGGGTTTACCACATCAGGAGTGTCCAGATGTATCAAGGAAGTTGCCTAAACTTTCTGGCATTCATTATGTTCTTTTGTGAGCCACAAATGTTCGTATAAACAAGGTCTGTATTCTCGTTCTCGATCTTAAAGGACCATACCGGTCGTTTTTTTTTTTTTGCATGTTTTAGCCCATTAACTATAAACTGCATTTACTTTTACATTACTGGCAGATTTTCACATGGAGACTTTGTGGCCTCAGCGCGACCAGTGGTTCCAGTTCATGTCAGCGCTCCGTGAAAATCTCCTTATTGCCAAAGGTAAGGAGTGTTATTATAGTGTGGTAATACACACAGAGCATTTTCAAAACTGCCCTTAAGAGTCAGGATTTTGTTTCTAAAAGACATGATCTCCTGGTTCAATATCAAGACACCGAGCAAAAGAGCTCAGATGGTTTAGGACCAAGTCAACCATCTTACCGCCTCCAATAAAACTGCAATCACGTTGTTCTCTGCTCCGGATCTGACCAGGATCCTCGTCTGTCTCCATCTCTCTCCTGTCAGTTTTCTCCTGACGTCTCTTTTAACGCTAAAACATTTGCCTAAAACACTTAAAAGCTGTGATGGAGAGCAGTTACATGAATGGAGAGATGTGGCTCTGCCAGGACTATATGTACCTCAGGTTAACAGCACCTCTGTTAATACAATTTCTGCTGCTTCCATGCTCTCTGTAAAAACAGTCTCCTCTGTGCCTGCGAGTTGTCCTGTCGTATATCCAGTTGTAATAAGAAACAAACTTCAAATAAAAACAAAGATCCAACAAAAAAAATAAATTATGCAAACATCAATGGCATGAAAAGAATAACTGGAGTTTTATAGCTGCATTGTCTCGCACTCAAACATTTGTTGTTTGCATGTCAGAGAGTTCAGCAGCAGACCAACAGAGAGAGACGACTGGACCAGTCCAAACCAGTCAGTCAGTAAACAGTCAGTAAATCTGAATACGTACAGTATCCTTCAGGAAACGTTTGACAGTAAGCTAAAATACACTCACCTTTAAAGACCTCAGGAACTTTATCTTCCTACAGCGCCAGCTGGTCACACATTCAAACCGAAACTACTTATTAAGTTTTCACGAACACGTCTAAATCCATAAATCAATAAACTCTGAAAATGCATTTTTCTTGCATGCGAGCTATAACTACATTATAAAGCCTTGTTAGGTGGGGTTAATACACGGCTTCATGCCCCTAAAAGATTTGGAAAATATCTAATATCTTGTGACACAGCCAAGACTTCGAGTTTAGATAATTGATTAATGGCCATACAGATGTTTCCTAGGAAGTGATTTACACATTCATAGAGTCTTTACCAGCTAGGACATTCCTTTGCATGGTGCAGCCAAATTCAGTAAATCACGACTTTGAAACTAACCAGTAGTTATAAAGAACTTTACTGACAAACAAAGTGACAGATTTACAACTAGCTGCTGCCGCAAGTCCTGGAAAAGTCCTGCCCCCCCCCCTTTCTCTGACAGACTGACGGCCCATTGGTTTACGTTCATTCATTGTTTACATTTCATCGACATTTCATGGCGTCTTCAATGACCCAGAACTGGCAAAACCTTTACAGTCCTTTTAAAGTTGAAGCCTGTGTCGAGTCAAAAATAACGTTCAGTGTTTGTTCATTAGGGCAGTTCGGACGTTTCAGACGAGAGGAAGTGGAGAAAGCTGTTATAAAACTATAAACTATGCTACTAGTTACGTTCCTCGTCTCGCTTCTATCTGATAAACAACCAAACAATCCTACACTAAGCATCAGGGGGAATTTTCAGATTCGATTATTTGACATTTTTCTACAACAATACACACAAGCTCTCAGGAATGTCTGGAGTCGCGGGTGATTCACTCACTTGTCTTTCCCTTCTCAGCCTGCCGTATGCCCTCCACGTCCGGGTAGACGGGAACAACAGCCACGTTGTAGACGGTGTCGGGGTCCAGGTTCCTGAGGACGGTGTTGGTGGTGCCGCCCGACACCTCCTCCTGTTCGACAAAACGTTCAAACATCCTTCAGCGAGATAACGGCTTAATGTGATTATGGTGAGAATGAGTGAGTCGACTGTGCAAATTAAAGTGAGCAGAGAAACGTTTTAGAGGCAGAGCGGTCTGGGTGCGTCGCGGCGAGGTTTTTCTACCGTTCGTTCCTCTCCTCCCGGCTCGGCGGTGTAGGAGACTTTGTAGCTGCGCACGTTGCCGACCGCGGGATCCCAGCGCACCGTCAGGGTGTTGATGGTCGGGTCGGTCACCTTCAGGTTCTTCACTCCACCCAGAGGATCTGAGGAAGAGGAGCAGGTCTCAGTTAGTGCTGATGATACTCTCTCTGTCCGACAGCAGACCTTTCAACTCAATAAACAACATTTATCTGTTTTATCTCTGCTTGAGCTGCCATAACATTTGTCAAATATTAGATATTCTAAACACAGACGTGCAGCTACTAAAGTATTTTTTCCTTCCCCCCTTTTTAAATGGTGTTATAATATTTTTCTCTGCAATGTTAATCTATCGTCTTTTGCCTCTTTAACTTCTGGACACATTCAGTGAAACGACTCCTGGCTCAGCATCGTTTTCCAGGCCACATCATCCAGCTACACATCAGTCAACAGACTCGCCAGAACTCACTCGTTTTCCCGTTTTCAGACTGCGATTTGCCCTCCATCTCGTGGTAGACGGGCACCACTGTGACGGTGTACTCGGTGTCCGGATCCAGGTTCTTCAGGACGGTGGCGGTGGTGGTTCCTGACACCTGATCCTGGTGGAGGAGGAGGAGGAAGAGAAGAGAAAACCACTACTGAACCTGGTGAACTGTAGGATTTGGGGAGAAGTGCGGGGTTTGGCAGATGCAGATTGAACGAAGTCACAGTTTAATGCGCTGTGAGCCCAGTCTTCTTGGATGCGGCTTCACTCAGTAAATGTCTGAGTAGCTCAGTAACAGAAACAGAAGAGGCTCGGAGATAAAGATGGATTTAAGCAGAAAGCTCGCGCTTCAAAACCTGAGATAGAGAGAGACAGATCATGTAAAGTACTGAGCTGGCAGGGAGCAGCGTGCGCCTTCCTCAGATACAAATATAAATTTCTTCTTTGTCCATTTAATCTAATATTAAGCTCCAAAACCTGCCAGTAAGCTGAGGATGATTTCAGTTGTTTCCAAATCAAATCATCTCATTTCACGACATGTCTTCAACCAAGTGACACAATATGGAACCCCTCGAGATATTGTCATTGCTTTATAGAAAACAGCTCAAACTGCCTTGGAAATGAGTTAAACTATCCCACAACACTGTCAAATGTTTTCCATTAGCTGTAAGAAAAATGTAGATTTTAAAGGCAACAACATTATCCGATGGTTTTCATCTTTTGATAACTCGATGTTGCACTTTTTCCAGGACGAGAAAAAAACGTTCTTGCGTGAAACTGCCTTGGAAACGAGTGGAATCATCTCAGGCCACTGCCAGCTCTCCACAAGTGTTGGGAAAACTTGAATTTCAGGCCAAAACTAAAATTGAGCTATTTGCTCTCACAGCACAGAACCTGCTATTACTTAAAAAGTAATGTTAGTACTTTCTTTGTGATGTAGTCAGCACAAAGAGGAGTTTCACCTCATATTCACATATTCACATTATCAACACCACAGTCGCTGTCTCTTGTTTTTAGAGTAAATATAATAAACAACATGTGACACAACATGCAGCATTATCAAGTACTTAAAGGACTACTACAGTAGTTTTGCCTTGTTACTACTAATTAAACTTCACATCACAGCTAACTACTGTGCAAACAATGCTGTTGTATTTTGGAAACTTCAAAGCTCCTCCAGTGTAAAGGTCTGTGTCCATGTGTCGTGTGATTATAGATCAGCTCTAGCTTCTATATTAATACTGTGAAAGTATCAAAGCCTCAGTCCACAGAGAAATGCACACAGCCTGTATTCAGAAACTGAGCCTTAAAACCAGCCGTCAGGACTTCTGGAACTTTGTGATGTCACAACAAAGCAGTCACCAAGCCCCGCCCACCTGGACCCACCATCCAAACCTTGCAGGATTTGGTTTCTCTGAGTGTTTTTACCTGAAATCTGCTATATTTTTATTGGATCACTCAGAAAACAGTCAGCCAATCAGAAGAGAGGCTCAGAGCCTTCTCTCTTCTGATTGGCTCACTGACCTGTTGTTGCTAGAGCTGCAGAGAGAAGCCTGAGAGAGGAGATGTAAAACTACACTGAGATGGTTTTTGGTTCTTAAAACCACAAATATATCTTCTAATAGATCAACACTTTTAATAAAACACTGGAAAGTGTAAAATATGGGACCTTTAAAATATTGTTTCTACTGTGAATCATCTATTGGTTTCCATTCATTTCCACAGTCAACATCAAGTCTGGAATAACTTGGTCATAGTTTGGTTATTTGAAGTGATGCAGGGAAGGATCTTTAAATCAACTTGCCCTGCAATGACACTGTAACAGTAAATGATTTCAGGTTGGAAGCGGTGGGACACGGTGGCGGATTGAACATTCAACAAAGCCTGAGGAGTCTGTGTATTGATTTTCATACTTTACAGACGGATGAAGCTTCTGGTGAAAGTCCAACATCTGGCAGATTTCTCGCTCCTACTCTGCCATCTCGTCTCAGTGAAGCTCAGCTTGTCTTAAGAAAAGTGTTTAACGAGGTGACATCATATCAGCGGTGCGTGAACGAGTTCTTACCACATCCTGGTCTCCTCCGGCCGCTGGCACCCAGATCACGATGTATTCGCGTACGCTCCCCTCGGCGGGCTCCCAGCGGACGTTCAGGGTGCTGGTGGTGGGATCAGTAACCTGCAGGTTTCTCACAAAACCCAGCGGCTCTGAGCAGAGACACGAAACAGGAAGACAAATTCAGCGCTTGGATCAGAGCGATGCACAGCTGCTGTCTGGTCAGAGGTTACTGGTGTCCAGGGGGCGATTTGTTCAGATGCTGGATACCGAGGAAATGGTGGTTTTTCTGGCAAGCTTTACTCCCAGTCTATTGACTCACACTGAGACTGATGCTTTTGTATATTTGTGTTACAATTGGAAAGCTATTTTCTGGTCTGTCACTTCAATTGCTCCGTGCTGGAGCAGTGGAGATTAAAACTACACACCCTCACAACTTCTTCAACTTCATTAGTGCAACATATTTTCACACTTCACTCCTTTGACTTGTTCTTTATTTGGAGAGTAAAAATAAAACTATCAATGCAACTGGAAACGTCAGAACACACAGAGGAACAGTAGCTACTCAAAGACAAAAACAAATACAAAACAGACAAATAACTCATTCAGGGAAGATGCTGAAGGAAACAAAACGACTGTACGACTGTAAGTGAGGTCTGAGGATGGCTGCCTTCAGGGCTAACTACTCTTTCTACCTGCGCCTCTTTGAGGCCACAGTCACTCACTCGTCTTGCCGCTGTCGGACAGGCTGGGTCCGTCTCCCTCTGCGTAGACGGGCACCACGGTGACGGTGTAGCGGGTGTCCGGCAGAAGCTTGTCCAGGACGGTGGTGGTGGTGCTCTCCGACACTTGCTCCTGCAAAGACACACGCGGTGGAGTCGATGAGGAGCTGCCCTTCGCCAAGAGGCTACATTCCTACCAGCCCCGAGAGCCCCGACCTTTGACCTCCAGCAGGTGAAAGCTCAAACTTTCCCCTTAAGGGAACAGCTGGGTTTCACAAAAACGTCCTATCAGTTTTACTGGAGCTGCTTTATTCCTGAAACCACTGGTCAACTATTATGAAACTATAATGTGCTGAAGATATATAACATTCAAACTTTGACTATTTCTATGCTCTAAAATGAAGTTAAATTAAGTTAAACCAACAGTTATAACATCATAATATAAAATATATAATATATTTCACTGAACACGGAAAACAAAACTGATTAATGACATTTATATTCAAGTGTTTTAATATGGATGTGGCTCAGATGTTTCTGTCATTAAAAGGTGTTTTTTTTATGGTTGTCATGGTTTGTTTTACTTGTTCTCCATCAGTTCATTTTCACCATTTCTCTATAAAAACAACAAAAGTAGTTAAACTCGGACTGAGCCAGACTGACTGGCATTTTTCCAGTTATTGCAGGTTGAGTATTGTTTGCTGTTTGCAGCTTTTTAAATTCCTCTGGCGCAGGAGTTTAAAAAAAAAAAAAAAAATCCTGTGAAAAATCTGTGAAATTTACTTTGACAAACTGATTGGAGCCAAATCGTCATTCAGGCGCATTCAGATGTGTTGTTGCACGGCTCTTTTTCATTCTGGCGGCCGGCGTCCGATGAGCAGGATTTACACTCACTTACTCTGAGCTCCAGAAACGTAAACACTTTAAACACGCCATGCAACGGTGAGAGATCTCCTCAGCCAGAGAGGATTTAGATGCTATTGTGGGGCGACTGCTCGACGGGATTATCCTGACAAAAAGAATGACATCACCAAATCCCTGTCGAAGGGTTTTGATCGTTCTGTTTCTTCTGACCTGACGGTGTTTTTATGAACTTCTGCTGCAAAAAAAATGTCACATTTCACTGCTGGGGATGCGTCAGACGAGGATCGTTTTTTAAATAGTTTTTTGTCTTAGTGCTGCCTGGTTGGAATTTGACAGATTTTCTTTTGTTTGAACTGAAAGAGCTTAAAGTTTTCTTCAGTGTGAAAACAATCATCATGTCACAGAAGGGGGGGGGGGCCTTTCTCACACGATGCCACGTTTTGTGTTGTGTGTGTGTTGACTTCGTTTCCTGGCTGTTATCAGTTTAACTAAACTAAACCCAACTTACTTAACTTTACTTCACTCAGGTTCTTAACTACTGTATCAACTAACTTGATTCAAGTGAACGCAACTCAAACTGACTCGACTCAGTGACGTTAGCAGCTCAAGCTAATTTGACAACTTAATTATTCACTCTATTTCCTCTCACATGTTCCACTGCACGTCCTGTTTTTGTCCTGGCAGTTACTGCAGAGCAGTGACAGGATCTTACCACAATCTCCAGTCCTCCATCGACAGGAGCGTAGATCACTTTGTAGCCCTGAACGTTTCCATCGGCGGGATTCCAGGTGACCGTGAGAGTGGTGATGGTCGGGTTGGTCACCTTCATGTTGCCCACTCCGCCCAAAGGCACTGCGAGCGTGGAAATGATTGTCGTTACAAACTGGTTAAAATGCAAACAGACATTTTGACATGACGCCGTCGTTCAGTCGAAGCGGCGGGAAAAACGTACATGTCTTTCCGTTCTCAGACTGGCGTTTTCCCTCCCTGGCCGGGTAAACCGGTAACACCGACACCGTGTACAGCGTGTCGGGCATCAGGTTCCTGAGGATGGTGTTGGTGGTGCCTGCGGGAACTTGCTCCTGTTTAACAAGAAAAAAGGAAATTTAAATGGTTATTTCTCACAACTACACAACTTCCTAAACTGCAGCGTGTCTGTATTTGCCCCTCGAAAGGTGAGACAGGTGTAAGAGAGTCTCACCATCTCCTCTCGGCCTCCGGCGACAGGCACAAAGAAGACCTTGTAGAGGCGAACGGCGCCATCGGCCGGGTCCCAGTCCACCGTCAGAGAGGTCATGGTGGGGTTGGTCACCCTCAGGTTCTTCACGCCTCCCAGTGGCCCTGAACGAGAGGTTGGATAGACACTCAGTTTGTTTCTGTCCTACATCTGACCGGATGATAAAGACAGATTTCTGGCGTGAACAGGGCGAAGGTAACGGTCTTACTTGTCTTTCCATTTTCAGACATCGTCTTTCCCTCTCCCTCAGCGTAGACCGGGACCAGGGAGACGGTGTAGAGGGTGTCGGGCTGCAGGCCCCGCAGGATGGTGGTGGTGGTACCTGGTGTCACTGTTTCCTGAGTTCAACAACAAATCAGCACGAATCAGCTGCTTCCAAACCCCATGAGCAGAGACAGAGACACGGGCGTGCAGTCCAGTCCTGCTTCGACAGTAACAGGCTGGATGTAGCGGGCTAGCATGCACGTTATTTAACAAAGCAGGATCGGCACTTTAGTCAAATAAAAAATGTTGTAAAGTTTTCTTAGAAGAAAGTAGGAAGCGAAGTGAAGCGCAGAGATGCAGGGAGTTCAGTTTGTGCTTATGGCAGTCTGAGAACAACACTATGTAATCTGCATCTCAGCGTTTATTGCTGCATTAAAGTGCACAAAAGATGGAAGTTGCCTCAGCGAAGCTCATCGTCTGTTTAATCACGGTTCACTAACACGCAGGTGAGTCATTTGGCTGCAGGTGTAGCTCTGCACAGTGCCAGCCGACACAAGTGGTTGCCCTACCAGTCCTACCATGCTCTCGGCTCCTCCGGCGGCAGGGACGTAAGTGATCTTGTATTCCTTCACTCGGCCCTCGGCGGGCTCCCAGCGCACGTTCAGGGTGGTCATGGTCGGGTTCAGCACCTGCAGATTCCTCACTCCGCCCAGAGGTTCTAGGGAAAACACAAGAGAAAGGATTTCACAGCCGTCAGCGGAGAAACAGTGAGAACATGAAGTAAAACAGTTTGGAAGTCCTCGTCACATCAGGCTCTTACTGGTTCTTCCATCCGCGGAGATGTCTGAGCTGATGCCGGTGGGATACACGGCCGCCACAGAGACGGTGTACGGCGTGTCGGGCTGGAGCTTCTGCAGGATGAGGCTGGTCTTCTTCCCGCCAACCTGCGTCTGTTCACAGGAAACACGTCAGCGGTTAAAATCTAATCAGTTTGTTTGCGGCAAATTTGAATTAAGTCCCTCGAGGCGTCACTGAGATATCACGTTCACGAGAACGGGACAACCTGAAAACATAACACTTCTAAAAGATCCATTTACAAAACAAAACATGTGAGGGAGTAATGGAAGAAGGAGCAGCCAGAGGGAGGCTGCAGGCTGCACACCTCCAGCTCCTCCGCAAGATAACCAACCTTTTTTATTTTTCCAGCTGACGGCGGATTAATAACTGACGTCTTTATTAAAACAACATAGGTTTGTTTGGCTTCCACTGTAAACACACACAACACCTGACAAAGGAGCTGCTCGTGTCGGCTGTGCTAATAAACTGCATCCAAAGGGATTTTAATGGTCATCACTTATCCCTGCTCTCATCTCCCCGTCTCCTTAAAAAAAACAAAAAACAAACTCAAATTCCAAAAATGCGTAATAACTCACATGTTTTGGAGACAGATTCGCCTTTTCTGAGGACAATGTCAGCAAACTATTTACAATATTTAGACACCGCTAAGTAAAGTGTTTCTCCGCAAGGGAATCCGAGTGGCCCGTGGGGAAATCCCGAGCAAACAACTCTGCAGTATATCATGAAGCGGAGACGACACTGTAAACACAATCGCAGAGGGCGTAAACAGTTTTGACTGGTAGCTAAGAGATACAGGACAGAGGGTATCGCATCACATTTACATCAGTATTTTAGGAATGTGGATGAGTTTTTCTTTTTTTTTTTCAATAAGCAGCTGTTTAGTTTCCTAATGGACAATCAGTGGCTCCTCTGGGGATTGAACTTGCAAACTTTTGTTTATGAGATGACGTTTTAATCATGAGGTAACTTTGCTTTTCATCGTCAACACAACCAACGGCCTCTCGGCACTTTCTGACCTCCCCACTCCGTCTGTGGCTCTCAGCTCTGACCCCATCGCTTCCTGCTGAGGTCGTGAATCTTTTAAAAACCACCTCATAAATATACAGTTTCTTTATCGCGTAAACTGGCTTTATCCATGTCGCACAAGTTTACAGGTGTCTCAGACAACTTCCAGTTTCCAGCGGCGCTCTTCGGTCTTTGCAAAGGGGAATAACGTTCGTGAGATCCGATCACAGGTGGTCGCTGTCCTCCTGTGATGGGATCACCTGAGACGCATGTTAATAAGAGGAGTGGACGGGGCCTGAGTCAAAATAAACGTCGGTGTGAGTTCACGGTGATGAAGGAGCACGTCGCCCAGAGCAGCGGTGCGTCTCACTGATGTGTGTTTTCAACAGCTCCGTGGCTCAGAGGACTCAGATATTATTAGACTCTGGATACACAGACGAAACCTGCTTGTCGATCAGCTCATTGTTTGAGCTTGAGTCTGTTTCGTGGGATTTGTTGTCAAAAAAGGAAAAAATGCAGAATATCTCCAGGACTGACCCTGGAGTTCAGCTGCAGACTCTCAGACGGTTTTTCTCTCCGTGGGTGATCGGTTTCATTTATTCTGCTGTGAGTCACAGTCAGACCACCTCCGTCTTCCTGACCATAACATCTCAATATATTTACTTACATATCATTAAGCATCAGCTGGACATGACTCGACTTTTCTACATTTTTGAGAGCGGTGAGGAAACCCCGAGCTCAAGAACCCGTGTGCAATCACATGACTGACGTGAGAAACAACAAGCCTTGCAGATGACACGGTGTCACCAGATGCTCTCGGCCTTGTAGGATACACATGTGACGTAGCGAAGGGGATCCGAGCTCCATTAGACGGATCTGAAGTGACATCATGACTCGACCTTGACATGTTGTTTGGGGGAACACTGTCATAACATCTCAGAGACACAATAAAACTGGTAACTCCCGCAGTTTCCCTTTCAACTTATTTCCAGCTCTAATCACGTCTTCAGTCATGGCGCAGGAATGCGAGCTCGGACTCTTCTAACTGCACCATCGCGACGCGGGACACCGCCATAAACCAAACGCCAAAATATGATGGAAGAGCTCCAGCGGCGTCTTCCCGCGCTCCTTCAGGACGCTCTCTGTGCGTCTCAACAGGGAGGCGAGCGTTTGAAACCAGATCCAACTCTTACTGTAAACGCAGCCGGTGTCTGGCAGTTTTTAGTCCCTGGTTTACTGAATCTTTTGTTGTAAAACATCTTCTGTGACCCATGACGATGATGATGATGACGATGATGATGATGATGATGATGATGATGATGATGATGATGATGATGATGATGATGATGGCTTCAAATGCAGACGATCAATTCTCAATTTGTTTCTGAAGAATAATGGATTTTGTCTTTAATATAAAATCCAATTTCCTCTAGTTCTTCTTCTTCTACTGGAGGAACTCTGGTGAGATGAACACGCACCACAAACGGTGTCAGGTCCTGATTCATTTCTTTTTTCGCTCTGGACTTCCTGACAGTTCGTCTCAAGAGGGACAGAAAGCTTCCCGTCAGCTGATGCTCTGGGACTCGTACAGAAAACAAGATTTAAAACTCTCCATCATATTGAGATATTCAACGAGTTGTCGTCAGGCAGACTGGAAATGTTCCCGGTGGTCGAGAAGCAGCTCAGCTGGGAAACGCCGCACCCCAACAACAGCAGTTACGAAGAACGTATAAGAGAAAAACACCCTGAAGAGGAATTCAGTCATTATTGTTCCTCTCATCCCGGACAAACAGATGATACCCGGAGTGGCTTCACGGCCAGAGAGGGATTCGTTTTCTGGTAAACCTCAAATTTACAAAACAATCCAGGAATCGAAGCCAATTTGGGTGTAAAAGCTTAAAACAAACATTTTAGAGATCTCCGAGGTCAGTCCATTGTTCAGTGTCAGTGGAGCCGCTCCAGCTTTGGTCTCTTGACACAAAGAGGAGCCAAGTGATTATGTGTGTGTGTTTTTAGAAGAAGTTTTTTTAATGTTGATCCTGCCACTTGGTGCACATTTACTGTATTTATTCTAACAGCAGGAAAATACTTTATAATGTAAAATGTCACATTAAGGTCAAATAAATATCCTGCAGTTTTATTTTCAAGGAGACTCGAATGAATAAATAAATCCTGCTGTGATTATTATTACTCCCTTATTCTTTTAAATGTATTTTTCTGCCTCCTGCGGAGAATGTTGAGGTTCCTTCATGCTTCAAAGTTGCTGCAGAAACAGATTTACCATTCGTTGAGATGTAGACACACTGTGATTTAACACCACATACAATGATACTGCCAGCCCTGCAGTATTAGGATGTAGCACTATAGTAGTATTATATACAGTTGTAGTATTAGAGTTAAATATTTACTTCATATTTTGCGCTTCACTGAGGAAGAACTGAAGACCCATTTCTTGATGCACGTATGCTGATGACACCCGAGTGTTGGTGTCTAAACATCTGCAGAACTCACCGAGATGGGCTCGCCTCCAGCTGTGGGACTGTAGGTGATCTTGTAGTTCTGCACGGGGCCGGGGGCGGCGTCCCACTTCGCCGTCAGCGTGTAGATGGTGGCGTTGAAAACCCTCAGGTTTTTTGGCGGTGGCGGAGGCACTGGCAGCACACAGACACATTGAGTGAGATTACACAGTAAAAGCAGTGGCATCCTGGGGTTGATGAGCGCTGATGATGTGAGGATGAGGATGATGATGGCAGTGATGGTGATGCTCCCACGATCTCACGGGTCATGGAGCTGGAAGGGGTCGATTTAAGGATGAAAGCGGGAAGGTGATGAGGTTACGGTCAGTGAAGCTGTTCAGAGCAGGGCTGGAGGTCAGTGACCTCTCCTTCAGTCAGTTAACATCAGACAGTGCTGGACTCTTTTACACCAGGATGTAGAAATAAAATTAGGGTGGGCAACTAATTTTGTGGGTTATAACAAACATTTTCATGGAATTATTACAAATTAAGAGAATAAAATAATATTTTGTAATAAAATTAGGGGGGGGGCTCTATGACAGATTTTTATGGTTGATACATTTTGGGAAAATTATAATATATTTTGAGATTATAAGAAATAAAATTAGGAACCATTATTACAAATTGGGGGATCGTAAAAAATGTTAATAACCATAGCAACTGAATTAACTGACATTTTAAGATTATAAAAACGAATATTAGGGAGACAAATTTTGAGATTAAAACAACTAAATTTGGGAGGGACACTATAACAAAAGTTGCAGATTAAGATTATCTCAAAAGAAACTTGGAGGCAACAAAGTCTAAAAGATAAATCGGGGGTTTGAGAAGTTTTCTTTTGTTACTGAACACTGGACACTTCTGAAGTAGAAGTCCCCTGACCTGCAACCCTGCAGCAGAGCCACTGTTCAAACATGCAACAACATTCATTTGATGAAGAGGTGGACACTGATGAAGGATGACATGATGACATGATGACACGACGACACGGTGACATGGTAACATGACGTTACAAAATGTGAGATGAATTGCGCTGCGGCAACAGGAATGTTATAATGACAACATGGTGGAAGATGAAGGAAAACAAAACAAAAACAAAAACAAAAAAAAAACAAAATGATTCACGGAGGCATTAAAACAATCAATCACAGTCACGGAGGTCTGTGGAGGATGACATGTTATCGGTCTATTTTTCACACTTTCTGCATTTGAAGCTCTGGATCTACGTTCACACCACAATCTGCTGCACGTCTACACACATTAGTTTTAAAATCTTATTTACGCCACAGGCTGGAAACACAGACTCCTGACGTCCAGTGTTGAGATGAGACAGAACTATATACTATTATATTTAGCGGTCCTGATGACTGCTGTGGTTTTTAAACGTCCATTATGGGTCATGGTTAGATTTTGGAGCGGACGACGCTTCCACGGCGTTAAATCAAGAGAAATAAATTGCAGCAATGATCCGGCTGCAGCAGCTGCTTATATCATTCTCTTCGACAGACTGTGGGAATTTATTACGTTTTCAGTTAATGCACAACAAGGTGTCGTGATACACAAACATAATGGACCAGGTGGAAGACAAGTCCTGTCCTCCACCTGCTCCTTTATTTGCTGTATCAGGATCCTTCACAGTACATTATCTTTATAGTGTGTCCCAAAGAAAACAAAACAGGGACCAGAAATTCATAATTGTCACTGTCTATTGGTGAATTATCGCCAAGCCGACAGTGAATTTGCCAATATCAGGAAGCTGATTGGCGGCTGTAGCACCAATGTTGATGTTGGACTGTGACTGGAAAAATCGCGGTCGCTGAAAATCAACGATCGTCGGCGGCTCTTCCAGTTGCTTGTGGTGGGAACGCACAGTGAGGCACTACAATGCACGTACATGCAGTTAAGAAAGGAAAAAGTGTGCTCCCCATCAACACTGTCCCGTACCGTCCACATTACCATTCCACACAAACTCATGAACATTACAGTGAAAAGGAACCTGTCCTTCTCACATGACATACCATCCGGAGCCTTTAACACTAGAAAAGAGACGTTGAGAAAACAACAATGTTATTTCAATGCCCAGGTACATCAGTGAGTGTAAAATATGCTGGTTTGCTTTTCTTGGGAGCCGAGAAGGCGACGGGTGGGGGGTGGGGGGT